GAGTGTCAGAGAGATTTAGATCACTGGGCAATGACGAGAGAAGTCTAGAACAAATTACTTGTCAGATAACTATCGGTTGCGCGCGCTTTTCTAATGGTATTTTAGTCCTAACGTGATTTGCATTCCTTAAACTTTTGCTGTGTTCTTACGCAATAAAAGTGTCATTTCTGAGCTAAAGAATCTATTCTGAGCTATACGTTTGGTAGATTACTTTTTTTAGTTTCACCCAACTTAATAGTTAACTACGGTTTCGCCTCGGCTTACTATTCGGTTATTTTTTTCAGTTTTTCAGGTAAATGCTAGTTTCAGTTTATCCTAACTCGTTTTTATCTATTTTCGCCTGTTTTTAGTGTACTATTTTTTACGGTCTTAGGCTTTTGCTATCATCTATAAAACAGTTCACGTCGATATAGTCATGAAAAATTCATGTAAGCGTCCTGGATGCTGTTTTGCTGTTACATCTGGCATGCCGTCGGACAATTGCAAAGGTTGGGTCCGAGACACATGCACAGATCTCACAGCAACTGCTCACAACAGACTCAGTAAGTCGTATCATAGGTGGGTATGCGTCATGTGCAACACGGATGCTGAAGTTTTGCTGAGTAACACTATTGTCCTATTAACAGATCTGCGGAATAAGTTGTCAGCAAACTTGAAAAAAGACAGTCATAAAACGGGTAAACAAACAAGGGCGCTCAACGAAAACAGGAATAGGGATGTCGATAGTTCGACTACCGATGGAGCATGCAATAACACTAGTGATGACGTACTGAAACCCAGCTCCATCATAACGTTGGCGGTAATAGACTCCCTCAGCAGACTTGAGTCTCCAAGCACATGGTCCCTAAATGTAACGGTGGTTCCCAAGAATTCTGTAAGTGATCGGACCCCTGTTACCAAGGTACAAAGGACCAGACTTCACCACCTAAGAAGCTGAACATCCCAAGTATTGTACCGAAATCAACTGGTGGATTGACTGCACAGTCTACCCCCAAGGATGTCCGTCCGGTCATCAAACAGCCTGGGAATCAGACCTCCAAACAACAAGGTGCTCAACCTGAACACCGAAAAACTTGAAAAACATTAACGCTTCGTGACGATTCTCTCATAATCATGAACCTTAAAGACACCCCTGACCTTCCCCTCATTTTGCAGTACAAACATGACAGGACACCCTGGGAAGAATTAAACAAGAAGCTTGAACTTTCCAGAATAGAGCCTTTGACGGTCACACGGCCCGCTCGGTGAAAGGACTCTAGGCATCAAAATCACTTCGTGTAACACTCAAACTACCGACGTAGAGGATATCCTACTAGCTAGTCACTTAGTGAAATCTGGTGGGAACGTAAGAATACTGCCTGACACTCAGTATCCTGAGCGCAATCTCATTTGGAACATCCCAAAGGAATCTCGCGAGATTTTCCGAGGAAGAAATATCATTGTGCAAGGTTTACCGTAAAACACGTACACTGATCACACAAACTCTGATATTAGGGAATGGAGATTCATCAAGCAATCCTTGAAGCTCACAAATATGCTGACTCAACAAGTGATGAGACTAGCCAAGAAGGATAGATATTCTAGAACACGGTTGCAACTCCGAAAGCCTTTCATGCCAATAGATGTCGGTTACCAACTGGAATCCATATGCATCCGGATAGGCCACACGACTCCAGGACCAAGCACAAAGGCAAGTTGTAGGTGACTGTTCCACTTGTGGACTGCGAATATCATGAAGAAGCCGTAGAAAGGACAGGGGCTACCAGCTCGGAAAACTCTATGTAAGTAGACTACCTGTCCATTTATATAAGGCTCGTACAGATTAACAGGACGAGGAAGCTCACGCGTTTCAAATCGAGAGCATAAACTGATTATACACGAATGCCCCAAGCTTACCGAATAAAATGGATGAGCTGCGTGAACACAGTAGTTCTAATAATACTCATCCCATAGGAATATCTGAAATATGGATATCTTATCAGTTTACAGCACAGAAGCTAGCAATACCTGTGATGTCTTTGTTTCGCAATGACAGAAAAATAGGAATGGAGGCGAAGTAGCCTCATGCGTTCTTGTTTGGAAGAACATCAACTGTATAACTAAGAGTTTGTCAATCATGATGAATCCGTATGGTGCACAGTAAGATTATCTACCTCCTCGAGGTGTCTAGTTGGAGTCATCTATATGAGGCCCACTGCCCACACCGAGTACGACAATCGCATGCTGAGCAGATTACCCCACTCTATTCGCTTGGATTCACTCATATCCTGCTTCTAAGGGACTTCAACCTTCCTAAAGTCAATTTCACGGAACATAAATATATTAGAGGTGAAAGTTCTACTGAAGCTCGGTTCTTCAACTTCATTAACGATCTGCGATTATTCGAAAATGTGAAGCCGCAACTCGTTGGAGAAACAGTCAGACGCCGTCGCGCTTAGACTGTATGTACAAAGGAAGAATTTCTAGTTGACAACCTCTCAATGATAGCTCTACTGGGGAGAAGCGATCATGTTGTCATAGCTTCTAGCTTTATCAGCAAAAGTTGGCTAAGACATCCCACCAACAACAAGCGCTAGAATTTCAAACGGTTGAATGTGTCAGCTTGACAAGACTATCTACAACAGGTGAATTGAGAAATTCACCCTCAACTTGATGTGGTTGCTTATTGGGACTTCTTACTGCACATGATTTTATGGGCTACAAAGCAACCTGTTCCTCAAACGGTCCCCAAAAGCCACAAGCAGCCTACAGTCATCAAGAACCACACTTTTCGTTTGCTAGGCCTCAAAACGCACTGTTGGACAGAATACAAACGGTGCATACACGCAACACAAACATATAAGTAACATATACACAAAGGCAATAAGAGAAGACAGGCTTCAGTACTAGACAAAGCTTATGGACAAATGTGCCACCAATCCGAAAAGCTTATTCCGTTATGCAGCCTCTCATCGTCAAGCCAAAACTGGAGTTTCCCAACTGCTAGGTCCTAGTGGACCTACCATTAACTAGGGTGACGCCTCTAACTTTTTGGCTGAGCAATATTCTCGGACATTTCAACCGACCCACACCAACTACAATAATGAAAACTTCAACTGCAACTTCACAGGACGTTCCGAAGTTAAACTGAGCTCTGAATTAGTGTTCCGGAAACTGCAGCACCTAAGAAAAGACACTTCTCTTGGCCCAGATATGGTACATTCTGCTATACTGAGGGAAGAAGCCTTAATCCTGGCAACACCACTTAGCGTGATGTTCTCACACTCGCTAAGCTGAGGCAAACTACCGGAAATTTGGGGGCTGGTTCACATCACACCAATTTTCAAAGGAGGTCGACGCAGCGAACTTCCAAGTTACCGACCGGTGGCTCTCCTCTCTATACTTTCGAAAATCATGGAGTCCCTGATATGCGATGGTATACATGACTATTTACTGTCCTTAAATTTCTTCTCATCGCAACAGCATGGTTTCAGGAAGCGTCATTCCTGTATAACCAACGTGCTCACTTTGGTGGACAGATGGACAGGCATCCTTGATCACAAGGGGAAGGTTGATATCATTTACCTTGATTTCTCAAAAGCTTTTGATGGGGTTAACCATATATGTCTTATCAATAAGCTCAAACGATTGGGTATCAGACCACCTCTAATTGATTGGCTCAGTTCATATCTGAAAATCGACATTTTAAGGCCAGGGTTAACTTCACTTTATCTCAGGCTGTGGAATGTTCTAGTGGGTTCCCCCGGGGCTCAATACTAGGACCTCTTCTGTTCTTGATTTATATAAATGATCTTCCACAACAGGAATCGTCAGACTTATTACTTTTCGCCGACGACGTGAAACTTTGGAGAGAGATACGCAACCAAGACGATATATAGGCACTTCGGGAGGATCTGACTCGACTCCAAAGTTGGGCAGACGATAACGGACTTACCTTTAATACTTGAAAGTGTAAAGCAGTCCATCTGCGACATGTCTCAGGCTATAGTTACAACTTAAGAAACTCCTCTCTAGTGGTATCCCGAGTCTTCAACCGTTTCATTCGTCCCAGTTTAGAGTACGGAAACATAGTATTTCCTTCCTCACTCCAAAAGGATAAGGACGCTCTGGAGCGTACCCAAAGGCGAGCCACGAATTCAGTTCGGGGAATCAAATTCAAGTCTTATGAAGAGCGCCTTCAATCACTAAACCATTACCCGTTAGAATATAGGCGTCTTAAAAGTGAATTTCCAATGGGTTACAATATCCTAAACACTTCTAGACACCCTTTTAAATACCTATTTAAGTTTAGCTCCAACACAAACCTTAGGGGTAAAATCCAAAAACTAGAGACATAGCAAAACAGAACGGACTGTAGACACAACTTTTACCCTTAAGAGTTGTTAAATGCTAGGATTCGCTGCCAGCTGAGCTAGACCAAGCGACTTCACAGGAGTCCTTTAAGAGACAACTAGACCTATTCTTAAGGACTAAGGATAATATCTTACTATGATGTATTAATTTCTTTTTCCTATATTATCGTTAATATACCTATGTTCCTGCCTGTAGGTATTGGTGATCCACCGCTACTAGACACGGAAGCCCATTGAGCGAAAGCTTCTATTCCGTCCACAATCATCTCAACCATTTGACTTTCCCATCGAATCATTAACGAATGGAATCAATTGTCTTAACACGTGATTAGATCTTCATCTGTCGAAGCCTTCAAAATAAAGTTGGATCAACTGAGAGACGACCATTTTCAGGACTAACATAGGCCATCTGACCTTCTGTACATTCCAAACTGAAACAGCTTGAAATAATATTCCACTTCTTTTTATCTTAAGAAATATTGAAAATGATATTTCTTCAAACATCTCTTTATAAGCTACTAACACCAATACATAAAATGGGTAACAATGAGTTACTTATCTATTCGACCAAACTTGAAGTTTGAAGGTTACTGACATCTGAAACAAATATGTGCATTTTTGGCGGCTCTTACGCATCACCCGGTGAGTATGACAACTGGGGAGCCGTTGATTCGTCTATCCGAATATGGGAAGTCGTATACATGTTTAAACAGTTGTAGAGATGAATATTATGACCGTTTACAGTTCCGGATTCGGAAACGTAATTCAGAATATTCGCACCACCCGTTTTTATGGGATGATTTGGAATGTCTCAGCTCTTCAACCTCAAACCTTAGTGTACATGAAGACGTCGAAGACATCAGAAAAGATGTTCCGATCAAAACGCTCTCTGTTTCAGAGGACGGGTAATTGCTTGAATTGCTTCATTGCATGTAATGATAGCCACCTAGATAACTTAGCAGAAGTTGAAGGTTTGGATGCGAGTTTGCTGACATAACATCTATATAGGCCCTCATGATTTTACACATGTAAATGAAAAGAATAACGCCATTTCAACTACTGAAAGAACAGATGTCGGTACACAAACTCAAAAACCACATCTAAGGGCTATAGTACAGCCCAAAGCTTTTGTACATTATGCTATCGGAAGTTCTCCTGGTCCTACTTTGGGGGCTAGAAAAACTTTTAACGTCAAGTCAGACCGAGATGTAAGTAGACATTTTGATCCCTGGGTTCATTATTGCTACCTAAAGGCTGTGGATGTGCTGTCGTTACTGCCAAGTTTATCTTATCCCAACCCTATTACTAGATCATAAACTATTAGGTCCGTAAAATCATATGCATTCAAAAGTTGATGTTTCTTTTTATTTGTGTGAACTTACGCAGATATCTTTGGCTTAATGTCAAATTCAGAAACTATACAAATTCCACACTTCAATGAGCTAAAATGAAAAGTAATTTCACACCTACAAACTGAGCTGTTCGTCATACCGACAACGTCATACATATTGTGCGCTTCGTCTGTAGTGCCGGATTTCGGTTGTCGGGGTTTCCATTTCTCATTCTGGATTAACCTTTTAAATAAGTAGTTGGATTGTAAATCTTGGGTATTGCCTTCCAGCAGTGTATACGTAGGTGGGAAAACTTTATGCGAATACTAAAATGTCACGGAAGCAGTTGGCAAATTAGTCTTACAAGGACTTCCACCTCGTCATTTATGTGCAAAATGTGGTCATTATAATTCTTTCACTATGTTCATCAGTTTGCATGCCGGTTAATTATTTTGCAGTAAATGATTTAGGTAGTGTAGAATCTTGATGAAATATGTATAAGTTTGGATAGTTGTACCACTTCAAGACAGCAAAAGCAGGAAGTACAATAGCCGATGTTAAATACCTATAAGTACTAATTTTATTTACTTTTTTTGCCAGGTTTATCCTTCTGCTATACGTGCTGAGGCTCGCCGTAAAGAAAGGCTGATTAATTTTACGAATACAAATACTGTAAACTCCAAAGTATCTTCCAAAATGTGTGGGCCAAAACAGTGTATTGTGAAAAGTGAGGCAATTGAACTAAGTAAAACTGAAAAACCCGTTCCTACACTCCACAAATCAACTAGAGTTAGCAGTATGCCGCAACCATCTGGGTTGGGTGCTTCATATTCTCGCTCAAATAACAATATTGACTGGAAGCCAAAATACTCGTGGGTTTCGGAATATGTCCAAAAATATCCGTCTTATCCAACGTCAGTATATGTTCGCAGCGCATCTGTTGCTGCTGGTCGTTCTCGTCCACTCTGCTTCTCATACAGTCGACCATCCTCCTTTCTGGGGAGTTTAGTCCCATCTACACCAGTACTGTTAAGCTGTCGTGGATCGAACTCTACTCTGAGGAGTCGTCGTGAAACCCACTGTGATATCTGTTCTACATCAAACCTCAATCAAAAGTGCTCCCGTCCACTTCTTAGCGCTTACTAATAGCAGTCATTTATTTTTGGCTGACTGGAGTCAGATTGTTAACCCGATTATCGTTTCTGACTGCGTGATACTGCATTCCTTCCATTTTGTTCAATTCAGTTAATACATATCATTCCTCCTATGCACGAAGTCATCTTAGTTTTCTTGAAATTATTATTTGGTATCATTATATGCCTCAAATAATGTTTTGGCAAATACATACGTTTAATACGTTGTTCGCTTTTGTTTGTAATACCTCATTACCACGATGTATGGTGTTTTTGTTTGATATTTGCTAGGTATTGGTTTGATGATTTATGTTTTCTTAAGTATTACTAATACATTGTAAAACAAATCGGGTTAACTAGCTAGGAAGTCTGGTACTACTGAAAGGGGTTTCGAATTTTTGCTTCCAACTAGATTTTGTTGACTGCCTAATTTATGGACATTTTGTATTACTTTTTATCGCTGATTTCAAGATTGTGTGGTTACTGTCTTTGAGCCAAAGGAATTGATTGTAGGCAAGCATTCATGTTTCAGTCTATAGTTTTCTATAAATAGCATACCAGGATTTAGGTCTTTTCTAATTTTTGTGGCGCATTTGTCCCATCATTTCGTTTTCCAATCTGATGTATTCTAAACTTCATTTGAATACTACTTTGTTTTATGGTAGAGCAGTTGCCTAGTGGTTGAGGTGTCCAAAGTTCGATTCCAACCTCATCTATTTCGGTCTAGGGAGTCCGATAGCGTCCTTAGCCCCCATACCTGGAGCGTAGTTCATGCCCCAGTACCTGGTTAATGAGTTTATCTAATTTTTTTATTATTTGGTTTCGATTCTAATGATGCGGTTCATCTCGTTTATTTATTTGAACACATGAACATTAGTACAATGGGGCATCAAATACGTATGCGCCACATAATCACAATGAGGTTGTGAAGAGATAGAGAATGAAAAGTATGGTAAAAAGTAGAGCAACAATGAACAGAAGCTAGTGTATGAAAGTGAATAATAATAATGGGAGCGGTTCATTTTGGAAAAACACAACCAGATGGGTTTCAATTAAAGAAGTTACGTTCACTTTTATGAAAAAAGTAGAAACCACAGCAGGATCGCCACTGGTTTCTATTCTGAGTTATATCTGATAACATCTCTAGCCACCGTGTTGCACCATCTCTTGGGTCCCAACTAGGGAGTAGTGAAGGACCAACAGAAACCTGTTCTGTACAGTTTTCTTTCATACCATGACATCATGTCATACTCTGACCACCTCTCCTCTATTTCCAACCAGTCCTAGTGTTGGCAAATAGTGCACGACGTGAGATTTACTGGGACGACATTCGTAAGGCATGTCCAAGCCACCGACGTCGATGTTTGAAAATGGTGAAAGCAATTGGATTATTGTCGCTGTGCCTGAACACACGATTCCGAACCTGTGCATTACTAACATGGTGTTGCTACTGGATGTCAGCGATCCCTCAGAGACAACGATGGTGAAACACAGAGAATCGTTTAACATTCTCAACTCAGAGAGGCCAGGTTTCACAAGCATAGAGTAAACCTGCTCTCACCGACGCGTTGTAGATCCGACCTTTTACAGCCAGACTAACACCACGAAGGTGCCAAAGGTGACCCAGATTGGCATGAGCCGCTCTGGCCCTCACTATACGTGAGTCGATCTCATCACTCACGCCACCACCAGCACTTATGCAACTACCCAAATACTCAGACCTCTTGACTACTACCTGCCCACTACTCAGTGTGAGTGCAGGTTCAGGGTTTTGCCAGTCCTGTAGAACTACTTTGTACTTGTAAGGCTCAAAGCACATACTATACCTACGAACACTGATTGCCTGCTGACTATGTGTGGATTGCACGGCTTGGGTATTATAACACAGTAAGACAATATCATCCTCATATTCAAGGTCGAAAGGTTTCTCCAGGAAACAGATCCACACCTACATTATCTACAGTCATCAGAGCTGTTTCGAGAATGTGATCGATGGCAAAGTTGTAGAGGTATGGTGAGTTGTAAGGAACCTATAGAAACCTAGTGCTTATAAGCTGGACATTTCGCAAAGCTGCAGGCGACTTCACTCGTCATTTTCATGACTTCATGCAACAACAGCCAATGCTCGTTTATGCTGTTCGGTTGGCTGGTAGCTAGCGTTGAACCTAGCTCGTTTCGATATTTAGTCGCAAGAGAAGCTGCAACCAATTTACTGGTATCGATCCGTTTATGATGATGGATTTGTTGGCCACTGAAACTTAAGGTAAGATTAGCGCAAATAAGGGGACGATCAGAGTCCAGATAGGTATTCATAGGAACGACAGTTTTGTAGACAACCACGTCTGCGTTAGCTGGTCTTGATGTGACCAAACTGAGTCCGGGCTTGAGATGCAGAGGGAGGACGCCAGGTGGCACATCGGCGATGACTTTGCTGGTAGTTACTGCTATCCAGAAACAGGTTGTAGTCTGCGCAAAGTTGCAGTAGATAGTCACTGTTATCTGACCTGCGACCAACAAGTCGTCATCAGCTACCTAGATGACTCTCTTCTGTGCCTAGACACCCGATCTAAGCATTCAAGTCTCCGACTGGTACTACAATATTTGTCGAACGTACGTTCTCTAAAAGAACAGTTAACTGGTGGTAAGACATCCTTGATCGCATCTGGACCTCAATCTTTTGGAGCGTAGGCGGAGATTGCAAAATGACGTTTCTCACGCCAATTTCCCCTCACCTCAATGGAGCTTTCTAATCTAACAGCGAATAACCGACTGTTAATGCGGTTCAGTCGATCAGTGTTGCCTTAACTCTAGCAAGACCAGACAAAGGTGCCACAGGGTCCCCGGATAAACGCACGTAAAACAAGCCTTTTGGAGCGACAAATGGGGAGCGAATTTCCTGCAGTTCACTATAGTCTTGAATACGGTTCTCGGATAGACAACAGACACCGATGTTGAGACTCCCTAAAGACATTACCAGCCCTTCCTGTTGTCCGATCTGCATTAGTGTGCGGACGTTGAAGGAGCCCAGTTTGAATGGTATACGTAGTTTTAGATGGACTGTTTCAGTATTCGACGGTAGCATTCATTTTTCCATCAGTCAGTGGCTTGGAATCGTTTAGATAGGACAGGGCTTCCACCATAGGCGAGCCTCTGTATAAGTTGTAAATAAAATAAATAAAAGGGGAAGATAAGTGACGTAGTATAGAAGAAAGAAAAATGGGTGTTATCAAATGATTGTGAATACGACTTGTCCTAATGAGCGTTGAAGCAAGAATAATTATTACAATATTAGTCATTTAATTTATTTATGGGCTGGAATACTACCCGAATGACCAAACTGAAGCTGGTAGTTTTCTTAAAGGGCCATGCATTGAGTTTTTTACTTAAAGGTCTAATCCACAAGGCGGTGGAACAGCGTTAGGAGATGTAGCCTCATTGTAACCGGTGAATAACAATAGGTTCGCACCCCATTTGTTCCTCCAGGATCTTGGACTTCATGTGCCCCACTGGTATGGAGTCAGCTTTCCAAATCCCCTAGGTAGATCCTCCGTATCCACCAAGCCAGTTAAAGCGCCAGACAATCGCTTTTTGTTCTTTTATTTCCGTAAACAATAACGCCGCGAGAATGCAATGAGTAGGACTTCAGTGGCAATATACTTGAGGCGATATGAGAGCATTTTGAAACAGCGAGCTCTCCGCACACTCAGCTGTATCAGGGCGTTTTGAGGTGCGTTATTCAGTTGTAGCTATTATTTAAGCGCCGAAGATCTTTATTGTGTTGTATCTCGAACTTTACAGTTCCGTTTATTGGTAAGGTCTTCCAAATCATTTTGTGATTTCTGTTCAGTTCCCCTCTAGATTTGTATGCACCATGTACCAATTAATTTCAAGCATTAGGATCTAGTGGCATTTTCAGTGCAAAAGTCTGTCCAGTATGTTCACTTGCATTAAGCTCGGTATATGAAACAATAATTTGTGTTTTGATACAATTTACAAGCTCTAGACATCTCATTAATGTGAATAATGGTGTAAATTTTCAATTATAATCAAAGCGCAAGCATTAAATTCATAGTCATTAAATAACAGGTTATGCTCACTGTTTAATTTTCTAAATTGATCAGATCTTTTTTTCCTGGAAGATGCTTAGGTTTAAACAATGATTAACAGGAAGCGCTCATACTCATCACGTTCCCGTTCCAGGTCATCAGGATTCTATACACCAAGACGAAAAAACCGGTCCAGGTCAGTAATATTTTTCGCTAATGAAATGTTGAGAATTTTCTTATTTAATTTTTCTCCTGCTGGGTCCTTTTAATTAAATCGTGGGTTGTAACTGCTTATGACAAGCTTCTACCCAGAGTTTTGTTAGTAAGTCAGTAAGATTTACTTGAGTTTCTTGATTATTTCTATCCGATGTGCATTATGCTCACATTTATCTATCTGTAATTACGCTTCGTTTAATAAGAATAAGTAGAATTGTCTAGTGGAATGCGTTTGAACTACCTTTACAAATAGCTTTAATAATTACTTTTTCAACCACGCACCTTCTGTCTTAACGAAGTGTTCTAAAGTTGATCGCACGTAAAATAATCATGATTCCATTGTATATTTTGTGGAAATCCGTTTCCGCTCCGATAGATTTCTAGCGCGATGGTTAAGGCCGAGAATCAAGTAAAACTCCAGATGTTTGGAATAAAATTGACTCAACTCTCTGTATTGTTGTTAATAGATAAATAACATTAGGAACTAGGTGTACTTAATAAATTTTCTATCATGTAAGCGCTTCTGGGTCACGCTTTATCTTTTTAGTGTAATGAGAACTTATTCACAGTAAAACAATGACCAACTCTTACGTTTAGTATAGAAATTAAACAATCGAGGTAATAAATTTGAATTTTATTATTACATGCTGTCCAAAATGATCTGTAAACTCTAATTTGTGCCTCGAAATCCCTTGCCCAAACGTTCCTGTCATACTCTTTGAAAAAGTACAAATATGGCAAAGAAGCATTTCTCAATTAATTTTTCGTCGTGGCTCCACATTATGTTTTTGCTGGTGAACCACGTTTCATTACTGATATATATATACTGTCTTATTTTTATTAACAATATACATTGTCACCAAAAATGGTTAGTTTGCGATAGTTTGCATGCATAAAACTTATTTTCAGCCAGTCATAATCAACGTACGACCTGGCCCAAATGTGTGTTGACCCAAGTTATCGCAACACGATATCACAAGGAGATAAAACTAACATAACGGACATTAAAGGAGTTAAGATAATTTAGTTGCACTGATTAAAATGATTAGATCCTGGGAATATGGTTCAACAAGAAATAAAAGATATGTTTGAAGGAATAACATAAGATCCAGAGCAAAATAAAGAGTGGATGACTCCGGGCCATGTGACCCAAAGTCTCTAATCATCGTTACAAAACTCATGCGGTCCCTTACCAAGTATGCAGTCCGTACCCGCTTACGTCACTCAGTTCAATAGTCAATGACTTCCTAAACTGATGCCAAATTTTGACTTGGCCATCCCTATCTTTCTAACTTAATCCTATGCCAGCCAACAGTGTCCATCGATGCAGGCGATCTCTAGGAATATGTAACACATGTCTTACCCACCTCACTTAATGAAGGTTCAAAACCTTATCAACCGACTTGACATTTTTACCTAACCTCAGTTCATCCATAGTCCTAGCATGCGCGAACACTGCTTCAAAACCAACTGTGATCAAATACTAATAAGAATAACGTTACCAAAATTTAATTTTTATGAAAACTAATTCTATTAAAATTAACATTTTATTAATAATGCCCAACTATTACAAAACATCGTTATTTCGTTTTAGATCCAATGAACGCTCTAAGTTCAGTTCTTCGTTGAAAGAAAGGTATGTGGTCGCTAAATAACCTGACTTTTTGCATCAATAGTGTATTTAATCTACTTATTGGTTTGAAATATTTTTTTGTTTGTATGGTTTTCTCCATTTTGGGACAGAGTACGTAGTATTTATACGTAGTGTGAGATGTATAATGCGCTGAATAATGTCCCTTAGTTCAGACGGATCCCCTATTATATTCATTTGTCACTGTTTTCATGTGCTAATTTATCGTTCTACTCATAGCTGTTTCTCTCCCTCTTCTCGTTCAGTCTCTGTGAACTCACTTCATTTTAAAGCTTTTTATCTAGAAAAACAATTGTCATTTTTGTAGTGTATCAGCCAATTTATTTTCGTTAACTACTGGTATTCACTCTAGATAAGCCATATGCTGTTTCTTGATTTTTTTCTGGCGAATTCGTTCTTATTTATATAAACATTTGTTTACCTTTCGCATGGATTTAAGCCCAAAATCAACCTTTATTTAAATCTGAACAACCTATTAGTATCGCCGCTTGTTGATTAATGCAGACCTCAATTTACATCCGAAAATAAATTTCCCATACTTATTTCAAGAAAATTATGAAAGTGGAGTCATCATTGAAAAAAGTGATAGTTAAGTAAAATGGAGTAATGTATGTAGATCCAGCATTTTTAAATCCCAAAGTTACTCATTATTTCATCCACCATTTTCATATCTTTCAGAAATCGACAGAGGTCACATTCAAAAAATCTTGACTACAGTCCTCGACGTTCTTTAAGTCCTGCTGAGCGAAGTAAGAATTTAACATTTACTAGGTCTATCTCATTATTTTCTTTAGAGTCGAAGTTTTCAAGGCTTAGAAAACCTGAAATACAATCAAGTGTTAATCCAATCGCGGACTTTCAGACTGAAGGTGTACGAAGCACTGCACGTGATTCACATTCTCCTATATCTTTAACAGAACGTTTCACTCGTCTGACAAATTCAGGGACGGCTGTATACAATAAACGCAGGTATGGTCGTTTTGGAGATAACCATCGTCTTCCACATCTTATACTTACCAATAATACAAAGCTCCCCCCAGCAACTCTTATGCGTCAGGCTAAAGAAATTTCAATTGTCATAGAGCGAACATTTCCTCTTAGTAAGTTTTTGTCTCCTGATATCAACTATATGACTAGAAATTTTTTTTGACGGATTTTTTCGTAATAGAGTTTTCATCCGATCGATTCATAATTTTGAGAAAACGAAAATGTAATAAAATCCTGTTAATAATTTTCTTCATCTAATACATTAACTTTACTTCAAAATAAAGAGTATAATCTTTTATTGTGAAGATTTCCCTACTTAAAATTCGATGATGAATCTGTAAAACACTTGTCCAGACATATGATCTGTAACTCATGTGTTACCGAGGTTTGATCGGTCAGGTAGTATTATTAGAGAGTGAAGTATTTGAACGCATTGACCGCTTCACTTATATTGGAAGTCTCAGTCTTGATGGTCTGATGTTTGACTAAATCTCGGCACGGATTTAGAAGTCTCAGTTGACTTTTGCTAACTTGTGACTTAGGCGAGGCATCAGTCGTCCAAACAAACGACGGATTTAATGCGCAGCAGTTCACTCCGTTCTACTTTATGGATATGAAACGTGATCATTAAGAGTAGATGGTATACGTAGGTTACTGGTATTCGATAATAGGTGTCTATAAAAGATTACTCATGTGTTTCGGATCCACGGATTAAGCGATGCCGGGGTTAGGAAAAGGGCGCTAGTTAAGGATGACAGATCGACTGAAGAAGTAGCACATCCTCATTAGCTGAGGTGGTTGAGAAGTGTTACGTATATCCCACCACTGCCTACCTCGACGGGCGATGTTTTCTAGTGGAGGCGCAGGCCTTAAGAAAGCTAGGTACGGTCAAACCAAAACATGGCACTAGTCCATGAAATCACTGACGATTGTACTTGGTAATGTAAATAAGTGTAGACTACCTGATTAGGGTCCACGTGATTATCGTAACCAGTGGTTAGAGACTTTGAATGACATGACTCAAAATTGTTTGGAACAACTCAGGTGCATCCATTCTTTGTGGTTAACACATGAGCGCATCTTCGTGCTAATGACGTATGACAACTTGAACCGGAGTACACATGAGCCAGGTTCAACTCTGTGTTTGACTGACTGACTTGTTCCATTTCAGTCAGTAACAACGTAGAACTTCGTACGTACGTACATCAGTTCGAGTTGCCACACCACATTAGCATAGAGATGCAGTGGTCGATTCAAATCCCGTAGTGGTAGAGGCAATAAGAGTATAAGCAGTAATCGGGAAGATTAGTGTTTGGAGATGTTACTTAAAGAGTATAATCCAGTGAGATAAATTTGGAAAGAAAATAAAGGACATGGAGAATTCAGAAGATTAGAATTCGCGAAAACACAAAGAGTGGATGCACCTGCGCCATTGCAAACGATTTTGAGCCATTTCATTCAGGGTCTCTATCAATCGGTTGCTATCACCTCGCAATCCCCAACCAGGTAGTCTATACCTACCAACATGGCACAGTTCACTTGTCAGTGACTTCATGGACTTGTGCCATGTTTTGTTCTGGCCACCCTTAGCTTTCTTCCAACCTACTTCTATACCATAAAACATCGCACGTCGGGGCAGTCGGTGGTTGGATATACGAAACACGTGTCCCAGCCATCTCAACTGATGAAGTTTCACTACATCATCACTTGATTTGCCATCCTTACCTAGTACCCGTTTCCTAACAACTGCATTACTTGCTCGATGGTCCCACGATATAGGAGCAATATTTCGAAGACACCTATGATCAAATACTAGTAACCTACGGATATCCTCTACTCTTACCTGCCATGTTTCACTGCCATAAAGTAGGACGGGACGAACTGCTGCGCAGTAAACACGTCCTTTGGTTGATAGATGGATATCTCGCCTACGCCATAAATGACGCAAGTTGGTAAAAGCTAGTCGAGCCTTCTGTATCCGTGCTGAGATTTCGTCACACACCAGACCACAAGGGCTGATGAGACTTCCAAGATAAGTGAAGCGGTCGACACGCTCAATTACTTCACTCCCTATCATTAGTTCGGGTGTCAATGCAACCCAATCCTGAAGCAACTGTTGTGAATGCGGAGGAGTAGACCAATAATTATCATGTTAAGTCCAATGGTGTCCTTGGACTTTAAATGGACATTTCCTATTGGTCGATATATGTTCACTTGTTGAGTATTGTACAAAATGTTGTTTTCTATTTTTATGGTACGATGTGGTATGCTTGGTTAGTATATAAATAGAGTATGTTTGAAATATAATGATTCATATCTCCGAGGCTGTGCCTTGTGTTCTGGACTCAACTGACTGGGTTAGACAGGGAAGCGAGACCAATCGAGACTAGGCCGTCCGTTCGTGTTTACATGTCACTGTAACCGATCGATAAGTACACTGCTCTCTAATTTTACAGTCAAGGACACAACAATTAGCACAGGGTAAAAATCGACAGCAACATAAAGCCATAACAGCAACATTTTGCATTTCGAGGGGGAGAATCGCATCCCGAACATGCTTGCATTGTTGCTTAGAGTGGTCAGAAGACTCTGCATTTTGTCAGCGTCTTCACCAAATAAAACTATGTCATCTGCATATTCCAAGTCAACAAGTGAACCTCCCGGTACAAGTTCAACCCCTGGAAATTTAGATGAGGAGAGTGTTATCTCTAAAAGTGCGTCGACCACAAAGTTGAACAAGAATGGGGAGAGTGGACAGCCCTGACGAACACCACTTGAGGTAATCAATTCTGATGACAGTACGCCATAAGCTCTCACTCTACCAGTTGTGTTCGAGTAGAGAGCCTTTATAAGGTTAATGTACTTCTTTGGTACTCCTTTCAGTGGCAAACACTGCCATAGAACTTCACGATCAACAGAATCGAATGCCGCCTTAAGGTCGTGAAATACTACCATTGTGGGGCGTCTGAACGTGTGTCTGTGTTCTAGAACCTGTCCTAGTGTGAATATCTGGTCTATACAACCACGTCCAAGTCGGAAACCTGGTTTTCTCTAGTCTGCTCTTCACGAGTTTTAGTTAGGCGTCGAAGTATTATTGAGGCTAATATTTTAGACACTATATTTGTCAAACTGATTCCTCTGTGATTGTCACAAGAGGACTTTTGTCCTTTCTTATAGACTGGCACAATCATTGATTGAGACCAGTAAGATGGGATTACGTCCAGTTCCCAAATTCTACCTAAGACCTCGGTTAATCTCATTGCTAAAAGAAAACTAGTTGATTTCAAGCTCTTCTATCTATTCAGTGATGCAGGAAAACTGATTTTACTTTCAATTTCTTTTTCAATACTATTTGTTAATGTCTATAGGCGGAAAAAGTCTTGCAGACTACAAATAATCCGTAATATTTTATTAACAGATCTCCACATCACTACGTCGTCCCTAAGCAACACAAATTATGTTATTCACAATGCACAAATCTCTGATTGATGAAAATGTTTCATTGTTTTAAGAGTCTGTCGGTTGATAACTTAATCGATTTCTAGTAACATGACGTGCTATGCATGATTGGAATTTCTAGACAGAGAGGGAGAATATATTTATACACAATCCATGGATTTACAGATTATGCAACTAGATGACTAAGTCATTTTTCACCAGAATTACTACTGCTCCCACCACGTTATTTGTTTGATTTAATTTAATGCAACGAACATGCAATCTATGCTTTACTATTATTATTATTATTATTATTATTATTATTATTATTATTATTATTATTATTATTATTATTATTATTATTAACATAAACTTCTAATCTTTGAAGTCACAATGACACATTGAGTCATTAACAGTATTAGTTATTGCCACCCGACCGTTACTGCTACCTTGGCGTGGCGGTTGGGTTTGCCTATCGTGATGAACCAATCGAGCTATATTGGTTGGAACAATCGTTTCTCAAGGTCCTACCATGCTAGACAGGTCGGTTGAAGAGCGGTAAGACTAAAGGCAGCAAAACCAAGGTCCGAGTGCGAAGTTGTACTGCTAACTGTACAGAGGTGTGCTAGCAGTATGGTGTTTCCTTTAGACAACCAGCATAATAGCAATGCTGCACTCCCACAAAGGAAGGATGGGATTAGAAAAGGTCGACCCTAAAAATGCACATCTCACTTTATCTTACATATATCCGTCTCCGGAAGTAAGTTCTCAACATGTATGGAGCTAACACAAAAATTACCCACAAAATGGTCGTGTGTGACCGATCTCTAGTGCTTGTCTCTCGGGCACTGCGGTCACGCTATCAGGTCACTAAGACCAACCCTAACCCGATTTCATTTTTGGGTACCTCTAGAAGAACCCTTCCACGGTGTGGGCAACCGGGAAGTGATAACTGCTTTCATAACCGTAACAGCACTCAAGATCACTATTTATTGCCAGAAATTGCTTAGCAGTTTATGTTTTTAAACTATTAGTATTCTTCTGACTCCTTAACGAATTTGGTTTTATTTCACAAGTATTTATTATTTCAATAATAGTTATCTATTTTAAAAAAATATTTTATTCTTGATAGATATGGACTTATCAACACATGAAAAACCTGTGACATTTGATTTTCGTCATAGTCACATTGTAATCCCACGTCGTCCCAATGAAGGTTACAAACCTGTATTTGATCGTCCTGGAGTAAGTGTTTTTTTAGATTGCTTTGTGTTATCATAAGTAAGATGCTTTAATACTATTGTAGTATATATTTAATTTCGTGTCATGTAATCAAAAAATAATAAGTTTGTTCCCTATTCTTTCTACATCACTGGTTCGTTATATAATGAATAAGAAAAAACATTGTAAAATCTGCAAGCGTCTGATGCATAACCCGAGGGTTCGCGCAACCAGTTATTGTCTATAGCGATTTCACAGTCATTGTTGATTAGAGCTAATTCAGTTATTATAACCTCATGTCAACTTTTGTTGCTTTGTGTCTGTGTTAAGAATTCGTGAGATGTTAATAATACAAGAACGAATTTGACACGACTATTACAAAGCGACAAATTGTAATTCAGTGGTGCGTCATCTTATTCAAAAATGGGTAAATAAAACTGGTTTTCAGAGTGAGCTTTGTTTAACTTAGGAAAAAGCGTACACAGCATATAAACAAACATTGTTTGATATGTGCTTTTATATGACTTTAAAATAAAGATAATCATACATATAATACAAACATGTTAAAAATACTTAGTGTCAACGATCTTTTCAGCCATAATTCAGTTTGTTGCGAAAAGTTAGTTTAAATAAAAGTATATATATATATATATTATGGTAGCCTCATCTTTGCTGATTGTTCCATATAGTATAGCGGAGATTCTGACTACTTCGTACAACTAATTCTTTGCTTACTAGGTGAAATTACTCAAACTTCAATTACATTTTTTGGAATCAATCGAAACTACTTTTTGTGTTAGAATTTTATCAGTTATATCAGAACTGTTCTAGTTTAACAAGGTTGTTTTTAAATTTAAAATTTATTTAGATGATGTGAAAACCACGTATTGGTTTTTCATCTTTTCGCCTACTGTGTTTAAATACAAATATATTCTTGAATATGAGTACTTACTTATGCCTGTTACTCCTCATGAAGGAGCATAGGCCGTTCACCAGCATTCTCCATCCAACCCTGTCCTGAGCAATCCTTTCTAGCTCCGTCCAGTTGTAATTCATCGTTTTCATATCTGCTTCTATTATCCGACGCAATATGTTCTTTGGCCTTCCTCTTTTTCGCTTCCCTTCAGGATTCCAAGTTAAGAATTGCCTCGTGATGCAGTTTAATGATTTGCGTAATGTATGTCCTATCCATTTCCATCGTCTTTTCCTAATTTCCTCTTCAGCTGGAATCTGGTTTGTTCTCTCCCACAGAAGGCTGTTGCTGATGGTATCCGGCCAATGGATGTTGAGTATCTTGCGTAGACAGCTATTTATAAATACTTGTACCTTCTTGATGGTGGTTGTTGTAGTTCTCCAAGTTTCAGCTCCATACAGTAGAACTGCCTTGACGTTCGTATTGAAGATTCTGACTCTGATATTGGTTGAAAGTTGTTTCGAGTTCCATATGTTCTTCAATTGTAGGAATGCGACCCTTGCTTTGCAAATCCTCGCCTTTACGTCTGCATCCATATCCTTCTCGTTTATCGATGATGCTTCCCAGGTATGTGAAGGACTCTACATCTTCCAGAGTTTCGCCATCAAGAGTGATTGGATTGCTGTTCTCCGCTTTGAATTTGAGGACCTTGGTTTTCCCTTTGTGTATGTTGAGGCCTACTGATGCAGAGACTGCTGCTACACTGGCTGTCTTCATCTGCATCTGTTCGTGTGTACGTGATAGGAAGGCTAGGTCGTCTGCGAAGTCCAAATCGTCTAATTGATTCTGAGCTGTCCATTGTATTCCGTGTTTTCCTCCAGATGTTGAGGTCTTCATAATCCAGTCGACCACCAGAAGAAAGAGGAAGGGAGAGAGTAAACAGCCTTGTCTGACTCCGGTCCTTACTTGGAATGCATCTGTCAGCTGTCCTCCATGCACTACTTTGCACTGTAGTCCGTCGTATGAGTTCCGCATAATATTGACAATCTTCTCAGGAACTCCGTAGTGTCGAAGAAGTTTCCATAATGTCCTCCTATCTACATTGCCGAATGCCTTTTCATAATCAATGAAGTTGATGTATAGTGACGAGTTCCACTCAACTGATTGTTCGACGATGATCCGTAGTGTTGCAATTTGGTCTGTGCACGACCGATCCTTACGGAATCCAGCTTGTTGATCTCGAAGTTGGGCGTCTACTGCATCCTTCATCCGGTTCAGCAACAATCTGTTGAAGACTTTCCCTGGTATTGACAGTAGTGTTATGCCTCTGTAGTTTTCACATTTGCTCAGATCTCCTTTCTTTGAAATGTTGACGAGGTGTCCTTCTTTCCAGTTCGTCGGCACTTGTTCCTCCTCCCAAATCTTTTTGAATAGAAGATAAAGCATGCTTGTGGTTGTTTCGATGTCTGATTTCAGTGCTTCAGCTGGTATGTTGTCGGATCCTGCTGCTTTCCCGTTCTTGATTTGTCTGACGGCCATTCTAATTTCTTCCGTAGTTGGTGGATTGACATCTATAGGAAGATCTATGTGTGCTGCTTCGATGTCCGGTGGATTCATTGGAGCCGGCCTATTCAGGAGTTCCTCGAAGTATTCTACCCATCTGTTCCGCTGTTGTTGAATTTCGGTGATTGGCTTGCCTTCTTTGTCTTTGACCGGCCTCTCTGGTTTACTGTATTTCCCTGATAGTTTCTTCGTTGTATCGTAAAGCTGTTTCATATTTCCTTCTCTAGCAGCTTTTTCTGCCGTCGTTGCTAGTTCTTCCACGTATTTCTTCTTGTCGGTTCTAATGCTCCTCTTCACTTGTTTGTTTGCTTCTATGTATTCAGCTTGTGCTTGGACTTTCTCTGCTCGTGTTCGGCTGTTGTTTATTGCTGCCTTCTTGTTCTTCCTTTCTGGACAAGATCGAAGAAAGGAAGAACAAGAAGGCAGCAATAAACAACAGCCGAACACGAGCAGAGAAAGTCCAAGCACAAGCTGAATATGAGTACTGCTACCTAGATTTTATGGGGGTTTCTTTATTTCTAACTGTCAACTGATATAAGCATATATATGTATGGGTATGTAGTACAAATCAAACTTCTATAGATCCCTAAACACAAACTTATTATTTGGCTATCTGGAGAGTAGTTCTTGACCTTGTCTGTCGTAAAATCTCATGTTGGTGTTCGATGTTAAAAATATAAATCTGCGAATATATAATATTACTGAAGGCGCCCCATGCGAAAACCGAGGTATTATCAGTAGATCATAGGTTTTCATCGAAAGAAACATCCAGAAGGTGTTCTTTCTCAGTTCGTGTCCGACTCCGTTATTAATTTGGTTCGAGAGGTGATAGTTACGGTTTCCTGGATGTTGAATCCTGTTCAGAAATCTTTATTGTCTTAGAGTATTCAGACTCCATAAGTAAAGACAGGTTTCTCAACATTTTGTATACGGGGATTAAAATATGTAAACTGTTCACAATCAAATGCGAAACTTTCAGAAATGGTTTTTGTCATTGATTAGTTGAACAACAACGCGGAAACTGGTTTTCAGCGTCGACCACTCTTGTTTATCTTTTTTAGTCGATTTTTGGCTGCCGAAACTTAAAAGAAAGAACCAATTTTAATTTATACTAAAACTGTAGTGCATATACAGCATACAGTATCTAACTATTCTGGTTTGTTTATTGCTCATTATAGCTATTAGAATACACATATATGATAACGGTGCTGAATCTCAAATATCTTCAAACTATAATGTGTGTATCATAAAACTTTTTCGGGCTAGTATCTATCCACTCTCACTTCCGGATGTTAGGTATTTATTTAAGAACGTGAATTCCTATTCTATTTAAAAGCGAATATTTATTGTGCTCCTAAAACTGCCGTGTAAATATTTCAGATGGTATTTATCGTCTCCCACCACGTGATAAGCAGGTCAAGTTAGTGTAGTACACAATTTCTTTGTCATTTTTCTCTAATTGTACTGGAAAAAACTTCAGTTATCTTAACCCGTTAAATCATTTTTTCTTTTACAGTTAAAGTTTTACAATACTGAAGCGGATGAAGTCCAGATTTACAAACGTTTAGTGGACACGATTTCCTCCTCAAATACACGGTGTGTTGTAACTATTATTCTACTCATCGTTATCCTAATATATCATTTTATGCAGCATTCAGTAATAAAGTTTTACTTGTGCAAATAACAGTAGACGTGTCAATTGGTTGCATTGTATACGTAACGTAAAAATAATGTGTTTTGCCACCTTGAAATGCTGCAGAACTTTTGTATCAGTCAGTTAGTCAGTTACAATGTGGAATTTCGTACGTACGTACATCAGTTCGAGTTGCCATACCATACTAACACACAGATACAATTGTCGATTCAAATCCCGTAGTGGTAGAGATAGTAAAAGTATAAGCAGTAATCGGAAAGATTAGGGTTTGAAGATGTTATTCAAGGAGTATGATCTAGTGAAATAAATTTGGAAAGAGAAAAAAAAGAAAGAAACATGAAGGATTCAGAAGATTAGAATTCGGGAGAACTTTTGTATGAAACATATCGAATCAGCTTTACTAATAAACATGGTTATAGTGCAGCTTCGTGTGTCGTAATTTGTTCACGGGTACTGTATTTTGTGTTTGGTTGTGAATGACTGATATACCTGATAAGCTATTGTATATTTTCGCTTCTAATTATATATGATAGCTTTAAAAGTCAAGTTATACATTTAAACAATTCTAGTTATAATTAATCGCGTTTGATTATACAGAGACTTTTCTATTTATATGTTTAAAAAAAGCATCTCTGGCAGATCTCCTTATACAAAAAAGATGTATTGAGTCCCAGTTTGTCCTAAGTTAGCAGTTTGTTAATATAATACGTTTAATTCATAGTTATACACTATTTTTATCAGTTTGTTGTTAGGCAGTTAAAATGTAAACTATTTTCATTCTGTTCTGTTTGGTTATATTAGAAGATCCAATAATATGGACAACAAAAAAGAAAGTGAGTATCACGACATAAGTCATTTTACAGGTCCCGGTCGATTTTATGGCAGTCGAGTAGATGAACGTTTGATGGATTCAAAGCGTAGTGAGTAATTTAATTATTTTAATGTTTTGAATCCTGTGAAACATTTACTGTAAATTTCATTCTCTCAGCCCACTAAACTGTGTTTCATGAGGTATCGCTATAGTGTTGGTTTTAATTTTCATTAAGTCATAAGATAGAACCCCATCATTTGAACCATGTAATCTGAACACTATCAGTCAACTACTTGCGTTACTCTTTACATCATAGATTTGGCTTAACCTTAATCATATTTCCTTGTGATTATTAACGTATATTTTAGCATTTATGTATTCAAATAAATATTTGTATTGTATAGTATTGCTGCTTTAGTTATTGAGGGACGATTCCCATCGAGTGGTTAACTACTTTTTATTAAATTTTTAGAAATTCAAACTGTATTATTTGTAGTTCCTTTTCATGTATTGATTAGAAATAAAATGTCTTGCGGATCTAGCCTAAACTTAACACTTAACAACTTTCTCATTATTAGTTTTAAAGCTGATGATATATATTCCTGTCAGTTAGTCAAACACAGCGTAGAACCTGGCTCATGTGTACAACAAGTTGTCATACTTCATTATCACAGAGAGATGAAATTGTTAGGCCAAATCTCAGAATAGTAGAAGTAGTAACAGTATCAGTGGTAATAAGAAAGATTAAGCATCGAAAGTACGATTCGAGAAGAAAATATATATTAATAAAATAATTGGAAAAAATCACAAAGAATTTAGAAACCTAGGATTTAAGGGATAACAAAAAAAGGTGTACCTGCTCCATTGCATGTTTTCTTCTACAAACTGGGAATAGGAAGTAACATTTTGTACCACTCACATTAATAAATTTGAATCAGTAAACGCACTCATACTTAAACAATGATCAGAAATGTATGGATTCAACTGTGCTCAGACAATCGTTTATTTTTAGCAAACACAAATTTTAAGCATAAGGAGAGACATCGTCTAACATGGCGACCCCATACACCAAACCAACAATGGACTCAAATAGACCATATTGCCATCAGTCATCGTTGGAGAAGGTCGAAAGAAGATTGTCGCTCATTCTGGAGTACCTGCTTGGACTCCGACCATGCCCTAATACGGGCACGCATCTGCTTGCGCCTCACTGGACGCAAAAAAGCCACATTAAAAAGACCCATTAGAACTGAGTTGAGTAACGAGAAAACCAAAAGTAGGTTCCAGGAACAACTGAGGTCACACTTAGTTAGTTCTGAAGACGAGGCTGACCCAGATGTTGCTTGGAAAGCTATACAAACAGCTGTGGAAACAGCAGTTACATCTATCAGTGATTTAAACCACAGGGTTACAAAGAAGCAATGGATTTCCTCTAGGTCTATTGCATTGATGGATTCTCGTAAACTCATCCCATCAGGCTCTGAACACGATGAAAAGCGACAACAAATCAGATCTAGGTTGAGCAAAAGTCTGAGGAACGACCGTGAGCAGTGGTGGGCAACGAAAGCAAAAGAAATGGAAAAGGCGGCTACTATAGGGAACACAAGACAGCTTTACAGACTAATAAAAGAAACTGGAATTAATAAGTCAAGTGTAAGTGAGACTATTTCTAAAAAAGACGACACCCTCATCTGCTCCCAGTCCAGACGTTTAGAACGATGGGCGGAACATTTCAGAGAACAGTTCAGCTGGCCTTCAGCGACTACAACTACCCACCATTCCCAGACAGTGTGAATGGAACATTGAAGTAGGTCTCCCGATTCTGGCTGAAGTTCAAAAGGCTATAGTTAATCTGAAACGAGGAAGGGCAGCTGGTCCAGATGGACTGGCTCCGGAAGTCTTTAAGGATGGTGGTCCAATTTTAGCGATTAGGTTGACTAATATTTTAGCTAAGATCTGGGAGTTAGACGTTATTCCATCTGACTGGTCGCAATCACTTATCGTCCCAATATATAAGAAAGGGTCAAAATCATCCTGTGATAACCATAGAGGGATTAGTTTGACTAATATAGTATCTATAATACTAGCCTCGATAATTATCCGACGCCTAACTTAGACTCGTGAACTGCAAACACGAGAATCAAGCTGGCTTCAGACGTGGTCGTGGCTGCATCGACCACATATTCACCGATCGTCAGGTTCTAGAACATAGGCATACTTATCGGCGTCCGACAATGGTGATCTTTCTTGAATTAAAAGCAGAATTTGACTCTGTAGACCGCGAGATTCTGTGACAGTGTCTATCGTTGAAAGGCGATTCTTAGATGTACATAAGCCTTGTGAAGATTCTTCACTTGAACACTACTAGTCGAGTCAGAGCTTGTGGCGAACTGTCATCTGCTTTTGCAACCTCGAGTGGTGTCCGTCAAGGCTGTCCACTTTCTCCATTTTTGTTCAACTTCATCATAGACCTATTGATGGAAATAGCATTCTCGTCGACTGAATTCTTCTTCCAGGAGGTCCACTTATCGACTTAGAATACGCAGACGACATAGTCCTGTTTGGTGAAGAGGCTGATAAAATGCAGTCTTCTGGAAGCACTGAGAAACAATCCCAGAGTATTTGGGATGCGCTTCTCTCCCTCTAAACGCAAGTTGTTGCTCCAGGACTGGTCTGTGTCAACACTTGAACTAAAGATAGGGAGTGAAGTAGTCGAACGCGTCGACAAATTCACTTATCTTGGAAGTCCGATCAGCCCTAATGGGTTGGTGTCTGACGAAATCTCAGCACGGATTCGAAAAGCTCGCTTGGCTTTTGCCAACTTACGTCACCTATGGCGAAGGCGAGATATCCGTCTTTCAATAAAAGGACGAGTATACTGAGCAGCAGTTCATTCTGTTCTACTTTACGGCAGCGAAACATGGCCATTAAGAGTAGAAGACACTCGTAAGCTACTAGTATTTGACCACATATGTCTTAGAAATATTGCTGGCGTCTGCTGGGATCACCGGATAAGTAATAGCGAGGTTAGACGCAGGCTATTAGGGAATGATGGTAAATCAGTCGATGAGGTTGTGGATCTTCATCGACTGAGATGGTTGGGACACGTGTTACGTATGCCTGAACACCGAATACCACGACGCGCCATGCTGACCGGTGTTGGGGATGGTTGGAAGAAAGTTAGGGGAGGCCAAACCAAAACGTGGTACCAGTTCTTGAAGTCACTAACTTCTAGTCTGAGCCATGTCGGTAGATGCAGACTACTTGGTTGGGGTCCGCGTGACTATCGTAACCTAATGGTTGGAGACTCTTGGTGACATGGCTGAGAACCGATCACAATGGCACAAGTGTATACACTTTAACTGAGACTAAAATTATTACATATTTTTTCCTTTTACGAACTACTTTCTTCCTGTACCATATCGTTATATGCAATCCTTCCTTTATATATTACACCATTGAGTTAATTGCTTCTATGAATTTGGTGTTCATCTTGCTGTGTTAATGAGGTATGGCAACTTGGACCGATGCACATATGTGCCTGGTCCTACGTTGTAGCTGACTGATTGAACATTGTATTCAGAATACCAAGACCACTGTGCAGTGCGATAATGAATTGAATCGGAAATTTTTTACTATTTGGTCGCTTTATTAATTAAATTTGGGATATCAATAAATTTAATGTATGAGGTAAACTTGTAATCGAGTAGATACATTGTGCAGATTTAATGCAGTATGATAGACATTCAATCTGCAGTCACAGCAGTACATAGTAGTTCATGGTTATCAGAATGTGCTCAAAATAACGTTGCCATATATACTCACGGGACATTTCTGTTGTGCATTTTGATCTATTCAGTCCCCGAATGCATCAGAATTGCTGTACAATGAGCTAGATATTCCTCAGTGATTAACACAATTTTTTAATATAACGGTGAAATGTACTTACTGTTGATCGCTGTATGCTCAACACTGTTTATAAAAGATTTTTTCCTTTAATACCTTATTAAAGGTCATGTCTTTATAGAAAACAAAATGTTTTGTTATGAAGTTGTTTTCAATTATTTCCATTTTTATATTCTTTTGTCATTGGCGTGATCTCTTTGGAGCTATGCCTGAATAATCTTCTGACAACCATTATCGTTTGTCGCGTCAAATCTCGTCTTAAATGTTGGAATTGAATTTCTTTGTGTAGCAAATTATCCATAAGATAGTTGAGAACTAGTCATTTAAAATTCCCTTAAATAAGCTATTATCCCAGTATGCTTGCAAGCTTCAGAACAACTTTAATTTAGTCCGTAAAAGCGGTGGCTTGATATTCAAGCAATTCCAGCGACCAGGTTGCAGGTTCCAAACTGATTCACCTTTTTTTCGGAAACAAATTCATTTTATTAGGCATCACATGAGTAGCATTATTTTGACTCATCTGCGATTCGTTTCGTGCTTATTTGATATGGAAACTAAGGTTAATGCACACATTTCCCAGACTCCACGTTGATTATGGTTGATAAAAGTAGTGTGGCTCAAACTCAGTTACATGTCTTTACTTGTTAGATGAGTTACACATTCCTTCAAATGTAATTAAGATATATTCAAGTATAAATTTTCTGTTTTTGAAAATGCAAATCACAGCGTAATTGTTGTGAACACTAGTAGCCGCCAAAATCTTGCATATACATGAATATGTACGAATATTAAAATATTTTTTTTCTAAAAGCTTATCCGTTGGATCCTTCAGAAACTCCGAAAGGACATTCTTATTATCTTGTGAGTTTTCACTGTCTATCATTTGTTTTGTTAATCAAATATTTTTCAATTTTTAGGCCTCACGTTAAAATGTCTTCAGCTTTAATTCGTTGATTCTGTAGATAACCTAGTTTTTCCTAAAGTGTAATTAGAAAAAAACAGACAGTTGGGTAGTAACAAATCAACATTCGAGCACATTAAGGAATTGATGGCGTAAGAAGGTAAATAAATCCTAAGCGAACTGTCTTATATGGCAAGAAAAAAAACATATAAAGCGACATGTTTATACATTCAACACCCCTCAAACAGCATATACCAAAACAAACCATCTTAAGTCTTCTACGATCTATCAGACAAGCGAATCGAATTGAGCAACCCAATTATTAGAAACCAGTTGAATGAAACGAACAGTTTAATTTTCCTACCCCTAAAGAGAAGCTGTGATGAAGTTTTCTGCTGAGTTTATTGTTCGACCTTTCGTTGTCTCTTAATAATCCTTATCAGTATGGGTTGTGGGAGATGTTGGATTTCATTGAAATCACAACTGAAGATGTCGCGCACCACCGCAGAAAAGGTTGAAATCAGAGTTGTACACCATAGATTGCCGGCTCAGTGGTCTAAACGTTAGACGTTCCCGCGCGAGACCACGGGTCATGTGTTCAAGTTCCGGTTGTGGGTGCTCATTACTGAGGAGTCCCGTACTAGGAGAACAGTCGTCCAGTATTCATAGGCTTTCAATGATTCTCTCACTTGAATCGGTTCGTGATTTCTGTGAAATAATCTTTGTTTGAAAACTGCAACCAAATACTAGTATTTGTTTATCTGTCCTTTGATTCGCTTTACTTATTGAATAAATTGTAATTTGATTATGTGGTTCAAAACTTCTTGTTCGTTATTATTAGCGGAGAAAGCAAACTCAAACTATGTTTTAAGGGAATTTCTTGTTTAGTCAACCGACTTTACCAACAGTTCTACTTAATAAGTATCTTTCATATCAAGTTCTGTGTGAGTCAAAAGAAACGATTTGTTGTATTCTTACAGATCATAACAGTCTTCATTTTTGCCTATATGAATAACAAGTAGTCAGATATCCTAGTTGTATTACCTCATACTTTTTAATTCAAAATTCTTTTCAGGGATAGGTAGATATACTAAGACAACCTCAGAAGTACATAAACCTTGTGAAGGCTCTTTACTCGAACACTACTAGTCGAGTCAGAGCTTGTGGCGAACTGTCATCTGCTTTTGCAACCTCGAGTGGTGTCCGTCAAGGCTGTCCACTTTCTCCATTTTTGTTCAACTTCATCATAGACCTATTGATGGAAATAGCATTCTCGTCGACTGAATTCTTCTTCCAGGAGGTCCACTTATCGACTTAGAATACGCAGACGACATAGTCCTGTTTGGTGAAGAGGCTGATAAAATGCAGTCTTCTGGAAGCACTGAGAAACAATCCCAGAGTATTTGGGATGCGCTTCTCTCCCTCTAAACGCAAGTTGTTGCTCCAGGACTGGTCTGTGTCAACACTTGAACTAAAGATAGGGAGTGAAGTAGTCGAACGCGTCGACAAATTCACTTATCTTGGAAGTCCGATCAGCCCTAATGGGTTGGTGTCTGACGAAATCTCAGCACGGATTCGAAAAGCTCGCTTGGCTTTTGCCAACTTACGTCACCTATGGCGAAGGCGAGATATCCGTCTTTCAATAAAAGGACGAGTATACTGAGCAGCAGTTCATTCTGTTCTACTTTACGGCAGCGAAACATGGCCATTAAGAGTAGAAGACACTCGTAAGCTACTAGTATTTGACCACATATGTCTTAGAAATATTGCTGGCGTCTGCTGGGATCACCGGATAAGTAATAGCGAGGTTAGACGCAGGCTATTAGGGAATGATGGTAAATCAGTCGGTGAGGTTGTGGATCTTCATCGACTGAGATGGTTGGGACACGTGTTACGTATGCCTGAACACCGAATACCACGACGCGCCATGCTGACCGGTGTTGGGGATGGTTGGAAGAAAGTTAGGGGAGGCCAAACCAAAACGTGGTACCAGTTCTTGAAGTCACTAACTTCTAGTCTGAGCCATGTCGGTAGATCCAGACTACTTGGTTGGGGTCCGCGTGACTATCGTAACCTAATGGTTGGAGACTCTTGGTGACATGGCTGAGAACCGATCACAATGGCACAAGTGTATACACTTTAACTGAGACTAAAATTATTACATATTTTTTCCTTTTACGAACTACTTTCTTCCTGTACCATATCGTTATATGCAATCCTTCCTTTATATATTACACCATTGAGTTAATTGCTTCTATGAATTTGGTGTTCATCTTGCTGTGTTAATGAGGTATGGCAACTTGGACCGATGCACATATGTGCCTGGTCCTACGTTGTAACTGACTGACTGTTGTACTCTGATATTTTTCACTATTTCTGCAATTAGGTTTTAGAAGAAATATAAATTGTTCACAATGAGGTGAGACAAAGTCATCTCGAAATAGCCTCCTCTGTAGCGTAGCCATGAGCTGTAGTGCATGCTTTCCCTACGTATCATTTTTGTGTCATAGAATCCCTTTTAGATTTGTTTCTAATAAAGGTGGTAGTCTGGTAATAGTAATGTAATGTCTTCATTAAATTAAACTTAAAATTTACAATTAACTTGAACGGTTTTTTTAAAATGAAGCATGATGATCGAACAGATGATGGGTATGGACCGAGGCGCCGATGGAATAATAAATCCGATCGTTTATACTCTTCTAGTAAGTTTCATTTAAACACAGTCGCCCGATAAGTGCTTTTTTACATGCATATATTTTCAATGAGCATTTAATAAGGCAGTAGAATGAGTGTTGTATTTCACTTAAATTACATGAGATAATAATAATGCATCAAAAAAGGATAAACGATTAAATTAAATGCATGCCTACCACCGAACTATTAGCCTCAGTAATATCCAGATGATACGAATTAGAAGAATCAGAGCTAGCGAAAATCACTGAAACTTTGAAAAAATAATTATAGGATTTCTAGCATACACTTTTCCTTGGTGCATCTAAACACCTAGCCGTTGCCACAGGTTACAAGTACGGAAGTATATCCCACTTCACTGTTATGTCCTGATAAGCGTAATGAATGGTAGTTTTTGGGATCCATTTATGGACCAATACTATACGTATATTTTTATCGTATAATTGTTAAATAACTAAACTATTCATATTCATGTCCCACTTATTATGAGCCTTATTTTGACCTATGAACTATTATTATACGTTTTACCATTCTTGAGTTATGCCCTGTCTACTAATCACTACCTCGCTCATTCATAGCCACATTTGGCCAAATCTTGTATAAATGTTTTTTTCATATTTCATTGGTACGATGCGGTCTGTCTGGTTGGTATATAAACTGAGTATGTTTGAAATGAATGATTCATATTGCAGAGGCTGAGATTGATGTTCTGGACTTAACTGGCTGGGCTAGGCAGGAAGCAGGACTGATAAGGACTCTAGACTGCTCTCACGGGTTTTACGCGTCCTTGGTCCGATCGATAATTCACTGCTCTCTAATTGGCAGTATCGTTACGTTATACATTAACAGGGCACACAGGCCACAAGTTTTGACATTTACTGATTAATTCTACTACATATAGTGTTGTGATTCCAGTTATGGGGTTTTCGTAATAATTATCTTACTCCTTTTGAATCGACTACTTTTCACCAAGTTATGGCGGTAAACTTAGTAATGCTAGGTAAATTTAGATTTCTAAACTTTGGTTATGCCTTTTAATATGATAGAACGATTCGTACGCCGGTGCTGTAGTTTAGTGTTGTTTGGAATATTTGCCTTTGCAATCTGTAAATAATATGTAAATTTAGTGTACTGAGGAAAAGTTAACATTAGTTACAATTTCCATTGTTTTTACATTTATGACATCTTATAAACATTTTATTTCAGGTTACCAACGTGATCGTCGATCTCGCCGCACTTCTCCTTCACCACGATCTTCTCGTTCTGAAATTAAACCGAAAAAGTGGCTCCACGACAAATTTGAAGAGATGGAAGGGGACAATAGTTCACAAAAACCGATCCCAATGCCTGTTCCTGCTCCCAAACCTATATTATGGTCTACTATTGGTAAGGAAATCTTGAATGGAAATAAAACTGTTGTAAGTGATGACCAAAATTACAGCCCGAATAGTGCAGCCAATCAATCACCGCTAACAGACAACGAAAATACTACGAATACACTAGAGACAAAAGTACAATCAGTTGTGGCTAATTCAACTGTTCGTAGTAATGAAAAAGTTTCTACCAAAGAAGAGCATTTCAACAGTGAAGTTTTCCATCTAGATGTTGATCATGTATTTGACGAAGCTATTGAACGATGATCTATGTCTGATATGTACAGTCAGCATTACAAATTACGCATTTTGTTTTGACAATAATCACTTCCTGTCTGTTATATTGCTTGTATATTCAATTTGTTTATATAAGCAACTTATGTTTGCATTCTGAATTTCGTTATTTTTTTATACACATATATAGTTTTCAGAAAAGATATTTCATTTAATTGGGTTTCTCATTCAAATGGGTAGTTTCTTTCGACTTAGAAATCGTCAAAATAGTTAAGTTTTTATTGCACACCTCGAATATGGTATAAAACTTCACTTCGCCTTAATAGAAAAGTATCTTCAGTTCACACTTAAGTCTTATAAATCAATGAGCACTTATCTGAAAAAGTTAACGATTAATATGCATACATAGAATATGTGACCTTTATGTCCCAATCAAGGTAATGTGGTCATAGATAAGAAACTGTGTAGAAGAAATCATATCTAGCGCATAATATTTTTGCAAAATATCTGTACGCAATTAGATTGCTTTTACCAAAATGTTGAGCACAAAAGGACAATATACAGTAAAAAATTATTTATTGCATTATAATCTACAGAGTTGTTTTAAATTATTTACATTATTCGTTTCCAAAGCCTTAAGTTCTAGTCACAAATTTTTAGCTTGAGGAATTATGAATATTTCAAATTTCACATCGAAGGATATATGCTACAAATAATGGAAAAAAACATTTACAAGTCATTTAAGTAAAAGATTACTAGAAAATGTAGTCAGGATTTCGTTAGCAAATACAACACATGAATTTCTCTAGCTTTGTACTATATTCCTTATCGAAACTGTTCAGTGTTGATCGTTGTCGCTCCACACATGAATTTACCATATACAGTGATACTACAATACGACATTCCAGATTGAACATTTACAATTATTCGTGGTGTAATATCGGTATAGCGAAGTCAAAGAAGATGGAGTTAGGTATATAGGTCGTTCGATGCGTATTTTATCCGAAAGAATTCAAGAACATTACCCGGTGTGGCTAAAGAGAAGGAAACGGTTCAATAAGAAGTTCAATAATCGAACACCATTTGAACACAGGTCACTCAACCGAGACGTACTCTGCGTTCAAAGTCGTGTACAGGGTAAGTAGAAGTCTTCCAAGGACAATTAGATTGCATCTTTGAATTGCCGAAGCAATAGCCATACATCTGGAAAAACCAGAATTGTATGTGCAAGAGATTGGTACAACCTTTTCTTCTACCATGGTATCAGTTTCTTATAATTTTTTCGTCATACTCTTCCTTTACAGCCATCTGCTTCACTTTCCATCTTCCCCTTAAATCTTCTACCCCCAACTAGTTGATTTCTGTTTCTACGATCATCCTGATTACATTTTATCTTATCATGCTGAGCCATCCTTTCCCAATGATCAGTTCTCTATCTATCTTTTGATGAATACTTAAGCCATTAACAATCAAACGATTATTAAACCGTCATTGTTTTATAAAATTTGTTTATTTTACCTCACTGTCACCATGTCTAAGAGAAGTTTATTATCAGCATTATTATCATCCTGTAAAATGAGTATATATATTTGCGATTGGACAGCTTTGAAAATGAATTCGCCGAAAAGAGAACTTTTTGCTGAACTAATTTAATATCTTAATGGGTGTATTCTGTTTACATACAATTTGATTGATGTGTATTTTATCACTTGAGAAAACTGTTCATGAAGTCAAATAATCTACCTAATGCGTGAATCCAGGTTAGTAAAAACCAATCAGAACTGAAACAAATGACATCAAATTTTGCCCAATGAGAGTACTATGATATTTCTTACAATGAACTGAAATCCCAAAACAGTCAATCAGTTCAGTAGATGGACAAAAAAGTTACAAACTTTGAGAAAGAAAATCATTTTTCTGTTACCTATACGAATTCTCGTAAAGTGGTAAATATAATTCGGGTGTATCTCTTCCACTAGTATACTGATTATTAATGTTATGATTAGAATGTTTTCCAGTATATGGGACTTTTATAAAATGTTGCGAAAAAGCTTGTATGCATAAACTTCGCTGTTCGCGGTAAGTATTTAATTCAGTTAAATTTAAGATTCCATTCGTTGACAATAGTTTTTGTTCTGTATGACTTGTACTAAATAATTTAATTGGTGGTAAACTAGTCACATGACTTATAAGACAATTAAAAAGGATATCTTCACAGTTGTTAAATACATTGACAATCTCATGAAGTTTACGATCCAACAATGTTTGATACAGATGATGATAATAACTATAAAAACGTAGACAAAAGAAAATAAGGTTTGTTACATTAGATACTTAAAAACAATGAGGTTATGAATCTTCATCGACTGAGATGGTTGGTCCACGTGTTACGTATGCCCGAACACCGATTACCACAACGTGCACTGCTAACCGGTGTTGGAGATGGTTGGAAGAAATGTAGGGGCGACCAAACAAAAACGTGGCATCAGTGCTTGAAGTCACTAACTTCTAGTCTGAGCCATGTCGGTAGATGCAGACTACTTGGTTGGGGTCCGCGTGACTATCGTAACCTAATGGTTGGAGACTCTTGGTGACATGGCTCAGAATCGATCACAATAGCGTCGGTGTATACACTCTGTCGTCCCTTAAACTAAGAAATTAAAATCGCTTCATACCTTTCTTTCTACGAACTACTCCTTTCTTCCTGTACTATATCCTTATTGCAATCTTTCTTTTATATATTACCACCTCTGAATTAACTACTTTTATGAATCCGGTGTCCGTCTTGTTGTGTTATTGAGGTGTGGCAACTTGGACCGATGCACATATGTGCCTGGTCCTACGTTGTAGCTGACTGACTACCTAAAAACAGTGAGAAAATTTAACCAATATGTGTACAAAACAAGTTATCAGATTCAGTATTTTTTCCACATCTATTTGACAGACGCAGTAATCAGTACAGCTGTATAATGGATGAATCGATTTGATCGGCTGTAGGAGACCAGCCAATTGATTACATAGATACAAAATAATGGTCGGGTATGACCAATGTTTGCTTGAAATTAAGACGACAAGTGATGAGGCTAAGCGCGGAATTGCAGGCTCTACATAGCATTGCTACATACAGAGTTGTATTGATGACACCATCCTGAGAAATACTTTCGTCATTTGCTCACAGAACGCAACTTGAACACTTGCACTGTAAGCTGTAAATACTAAGGTGTCTGTTAGTTTTTATTATTTTGTTTTATTTTCAACTGTATTTGTTTTTTTATATGAGAAATAAAAAAAAGTGTAACACAAACTAACCGATGATAAAATGCCCCATTTAGTAAAACTATTGAAAAATGCTTCATCGATGGATTATCATCATATTTCCATAGGTTATCTGTGGTATTCCAATAATGTGAACGAGCTTGAAATCCAACTAAACGATTAGGAAATTCTTGCCAAGTTAGATATGCGAAATTTAACTAAAAAATAGTATAGCGAGAGTATTAATTCATAGCTTAATCGACTTTTAGTCCAACGTATAAAAAACGAAGCACTTTAACTACACTCAACTGTTTTTTAGGAATCCGTCAAAACGCCTTTGGATTTCATTATAATTTGTGTTCCAATATATAAAATCAGTCTAATTTTATCACTGTGGGATTATTTGTTTTGTTATTTTCTAACAAATGTGTAAAAAACTATCGATAATAAAAATGTTGAATATACGATCTAAACACCGATTAATCAACATGAATGAGTACATAATACAGATTTTAAGTTAAAATTTTTGTTTCGATGTTAATTTATCTTTTTATTTGTATTTTATAACATGTCCCTTTATCATAATCAAGTTTTACACCTGGATTGCTTTAAGCGAGTGACCATTTTAACTCTGTAATGATATATTAACAGAATTCAACTGTTTGAAATCTTATGGAGATAAGTACCAATAGTTCTTTCTTCAGTTGTATTACTTAAGTTGAGTTAGCTGTTTAGTTTTTCTGCTGATCAGCACATTCAGAACTATTCTGGATTACTGATGTAGGTTCATTAAAGTTTCTAATAAGAAACGTTACAGTTTAAGCTTCTCATTTTTTTACATTAATAAAATCTCTAGTTACATAGTGCCAATTTTGAGGTGGAGCGTTTGATTTCTGTATTAAAATCAAAATAAACGTTAATCCATGCCATTTGTACTCTGAGGTTCCTATGAGAGAATTTCAATTGATCTCCAAATAAATTTAAGAAAGCAATTTTACTGCTTATATATTTAGTTCAATACCTTTTTAATAAGTGTAGGAATATTACTATCTTACTGGGGTTATCTTAGGAAATGTGTTCTTACAATGAGTAAACTATAATTAACTCACAATCAGTCAGCCATAACCAACCCAGGACCTGGAACAAGTGTGCACCGGCTTAAGTTGTTACAGCACATTGGTAAAGAGAAGCATCAAATGACTCGGAATTAAGGTAGTAGTAATGATAATAAGATGAGACAAAGAAAGGAATAAATCACGGGAATCCAGCATTTAGGTAGAGATCAAGGATGAATGGATCTGTTCCATTACAAACGATTTTAAGATATGCCACTCAGCGTTTTTAACCATTGGCTGCAATTATCCAGCGGATCTGAACCACGAAGTTTACATTTATCAACACGAACCGGTACAACAGTTAACCTTTTTACAATCTAATAGCACGTCTTGGTTTGGTCACTCCTAATGTTCTTCTATCCTATGCCTCTGACATCTAGGACAGTATGTCCAGGTAGGCGCGGCTGAGCAACCATAATACATATCTCAACCATGAATTCAGACAGAGGATTAATGTGCACACCAGCTACCCGTTCCTTGATTTACTTATCAATGTACGGTCAGTATACATAGCTTCCAGTGACAGATTTCATTCTTACAATCCCTGGGTGGGTTGAGTGAAGCTGTCGTAGGAAGGTTGAACGTAGATTACTAGGAGCCACTACGGGATCGGCGAACATAACAGTCATTTACAATGGACAGAGAATGGTGTCGTTGATGACACTGCTTTAATTCATGGGATATAATATGTGGGAGTCAGCAATATCGAATAAATCTAGATAGTTACTGTAAAATAGGAACATGATGTGTAGTCAACAGCTTGAAGAGGTGTCACTGAAATTTGTACTGCATTCACCAACACCTTGCTCACATGTTTAACTTATATAGAAGCACAAACGTTACCTTCATCCTCAAGTTTATAATTGCCCATTAAACGTGATAATGAGATGACCAAAATAAGAGGTCGATTTGTACTTAATGGTGAAATCACAACACAGCAATATTGTAGCTTATAGATGGCTAAGAGAAAACGAATACATATAATTCCAGAACTTGGACTGAGGTCGAACGCAAATATAGCCAGACAGAAAGAAATGAGGACTCATTGTCGCAGAAAATGTGTTGAAGTTTCCAAGTCTACGAAAAGTGGAACCACATTTCTGATCATCTCCAGCTGAACCCTAGTCGCATGTACACGTCGATTTTACTAGCCCATTCCATAGTAGTTATGTCTTCGTATATGTTGACTCATATTCTAAATGACCAAAGATAATTCCCATGAACCGCATCACCTCCCATTCTACATTTGCGAAAATTATATAGCTGCTATGTCGTTTTAGGGTCCCGGATATCCTGATAACAAACAATAATACACAATTTACTTCTACTGCCTTAGGTTTTTGTGCTAGATTATTCGTCGGTTCCCAAGCTAAAAGGTTTGTGGATACTTCCAAAATAGCATAAAACACAGGCTTATTATACATACACTCCAGTAGGTCATTCACTCTCAACCTTTTTGGTGGGAAGGTGTTATGACGAGAAGAATTGAGAAAATTGAAAGTTGTGTAACCCTTTTTTCGAGACACTGCTAACTTTACTTTTTGACGTGTAGTTATTAATAGTTAATGCATGTGATTCCTATATTTTCCTAATCACAAGTTATTATACTTTAATCATGGAGTCTGGAATTCAAATGTTTAATTTAAACGACCAATTTTTGGCATATATACATCGAATTACCTGTTCAACTGTAATGTTCAAGTTTAATGAATATGCAAACACAGCCAAGGTAGGAATTTCGTGAAAAGGTTGAAAACGAACACTTGGAGATATAGAATTAGAAGAATATCTTAGTGTAAAGCGTTCGTCAGGGAGAACGATTTCAACTGGGACTGGAGTATAAGATTTTACTTCATTATTATTTGGTGGAAAATTCTTGCATTGCCAAATCAGAATTATCTAAAAAGAGGATGGGATAACAAAAAGCATCTGTACACAGATAATTAGTTATCAGTTTCACATGTATACACAATCGAACATAGTCAAACTATAACTCAATGAATAAAATAATGAACTCAACCAAATGGATAATGAGTTGAAATTCAATCTTAATAACCATATAATATGATTATGAATAGTTCCACTGTTTTCGATCAGGACTTAGTTGAAAATTATTCTTATTGGATATGTCATACGAGCAAGTTGATAACATGTGAGTGCTATCTCATAAATACCTTTCTCGGTAATGTCGCTAACCAACTATCTTAGTTACACACACATTTGTTTACTATCATCTTGTGTGCTATGTACTAGTTGAAAACTGGAAAATATAATATCTCATTGAATTTTCATACTACAGATAGAACACTTCATTTATATGACATCTTGTTTATAGAATATGACGTCATTTTTCAGTTTGTGGTCTAAGTTATCAATGAGACTGTATTTTAATATTAACTGAATTCCTGTCATTGTAAATAACCAAGTTACTAAAAGGAGTAAGCTTTCAGTTTTCCATATCTGTTTCTCAAATACTTGTCAGTCAAATAATTAATAATAATAATAACAATAACAATAATAATAATAATAATAATAATAATAATAGTAATAATAATAATTGTTCAGCCTCTTTCGAACAACAGTAGCAGTAGTAATACAAATTTCCAAAACGAAAACTTGTAGCTCCGAGCTTAAACTAAATAGATTCAACTTTCTCTTCATCACTATCGAAAAGTCAAGGTATACATTTTGTCGAAAATCCAAACAACCTGTAAAAGATTGGGCAAATTCCGTTGTCTATTAATTTGCATATTTGTGTGGAAACAGATGCATAGAGAGGAGAAAATGTTATCTCCAAGCCGGAGTGGTTGAATACGTACTTAAGTGGCAACAAAAATATATGAATTTCAATGGTCAAATGATAGCATAGGAATAGAAAAACATCTCTGCATTGTGAAACATTTGGTCAAGACGGGTCATACTACCTGATTTCCAGAGCTTATCAGATTATATAACTCAAGTTGTAAAGAGACCGCTAATTTAGGCAACTCGGAACCATAATGGACTTTGTTTGAAGCTCAATGATTAAAAATAATCAGCATAAAACTCTGACTTTATATATTGTCTTTAAGACTCAGTAAAGTCAGTATACGATAGTGAAGATTGTTGAGGTTTTACTGAGATTGTAGTGAACAAGAACACCAATGGGGACAATCAAATGTATTTAACACAAAATTACAGAACCTGTTAGTAAATTCGAACAACCATGTAGAAAATGCTCAATTTGCAAAACGACCGTCAATTGTCTGAAAATGGCGCACACTTCATTGTTCATGTATTTTCATATAAATTGCATTCTCTTTCCATTGCTTACTGTTCGATCCTCTTGTCTCTCTGCTGCCAGACATTCTGTTCACGACTAACACTATATAATGATTATGTCAATATAAGTAGCACACACACGACTGATCAATGTTAAACCATCATTGAAAACCCGGAAGCACTGGATGGCTGTTTCATACTAGTACGAGACTCCTTAGCAGTGTATAACTTCAACCAATCCACGATAGTGCGCGACCATCTTCCATTGTCTTTGGTGGGTAACTGCTTCAGTAAATTTACAGAGCAATCGATAAAAGAACATCATTTTAAATAATATAATTCAGTACTTAAAAGTTTGTGTGATGAATTGTAAGTGATATTTATTTAATGATGTACTGTTTTTAGGAGGAAATAACTGGAACAGATTTTTAAATATAATCGCTAGTCGAAGCATTAGCTTATGGATTATTTTATTGTGTTCGGAAAGAAAAACACTCACTTTCTCTCTCTTGTACATATACATACGAAAGTGAAAACTCGATATGGTAGTATTACTTAATTTGAGGAATAAACTTTTTTTACCTTTCGTAAAAACTCGGAATGGAACAGAATTTTACCGAGAGATTTTAACCGTTCCAAATAAACAGTACAAAGTTCTGCACGTATTGGAATTAACATTGTGAAACCTGACTTGATTTCGGCTATTTAAATGGAAAATACAAAAATGAAAGGTGTTTTAACATAAGAAAACAACTATATATTAATAGAACAAAAATAAAAAGGACATGATAATGGTTTGTCAACATCTATCGTAAAAATAAGACAGCTATGTCTTAATGACCCACTGATTATTAATGTTATACCTTGAGCTCAGATTCTTAATATACCGCGTATGATTTGAGCACCCGAACGCTAGAATCCTACCAAGTCGCAAATCAGAAGACAGGAGAAAGTGCTTGCTTGTTTAGAACTGAATTTACTCATGTCAGCTGTTATTCACCACCAAAGGGTATTTGAATTATTGATCGGACTGATTCGCCTTGTATGATTCAAATCAATGTCATCTGATTACTCAGTTAACTACGTTATCACCCAGCGGTTCTGGCTGCAACCAACCTCCTGTAAGACAGTCATCATTATGCTCGTTGGTGACTGACTAATGAACAGAGCTAAGCTTGTCTAGTCCCTAAGGCTGGTCGGATACATTTAATCACCTCTCGCTACCAAACAACAAGGTCTAAATGAGTTTATGGGTTACGTAAATGAGTGAAATATTACATTTGCTTTTTAAAATTAGGGTACATACAAATAACAATGTTCTAATTGATTGTTCACTGTGAAAAAATGCCTCAAGAATGGTACGCTTTCAGAATGTTCCCAAGAAAAACCTACATTGACAATGCATCGGATATCGTTGAACTGCTACATCACAACTGTCCATAGAATCTACATGCGAAACTATGAGACCACCAGGTAATGTATTCCAAATTTCGTAACTCCGACGACGAAGCGAAACTCTATCTCGTATAATCTGAAATCAGAATAATAACCAAACAAAAGAAAGTGTACGCATACAATTTTGTTAGAAATCACGTGAAATGAAAGTTTCTCAGTCAGTTAGTTACAACGTAGGACCAAGCACATATCCATCGGTACAAGTTGCCATACCTGATTAGCGCAACAAGATGAATACCACGTTCACAGAAGCAATTACTTCAATGGTAGTAAAAAAGATTCCACATAAGGATATGATACAAGGAAAAAAATTAGTTCGTAGAAAGAAAGATATAAAGTAATTTTAATCTCACGGTTTAAAGGAAGATAGAGAGTGTATACACCTACTCCATTGTGATCGATTCTGGACCATATCACTTAGACTCTCTAGCCATTGGGTACGATATTCGCGCGAACCCCAAGTTGTATGGTTCTCACATTTTACTAAGAGATTTTGTAATTTTGCATTAAACAATAATTTGGTTGTCCCCCACTTGAGTGTTGGTTCACTACAATAGCACCCGAGTGCCAAAACGGAATTGGGCGGGATGAGGCTCTAAACTCAGAATTAATGACTGAAAACCGAATGTCTTAACCGCTAAGCTACCGTCTTTGACGTTGCTTTACTTATTACCTCGTGAGGTTAGACACATAGACAAATGTTCTAGGAGTGTTTTCCCGAAAAAACCATTTGTTTTGATTTAAACACCTTAGCAGTATATTAGCCCTCACAAAAGCACAAACCATGAAAGGTAAACAATCCTGCTGGACTTATTTTCCATCAATGAATGTAACGTTCTTGATACAAGCGCAACGATGCTCTATATTAACCGTAAAAATCAAACCCTTTTAATTTATTTCATAAAATCAATAGAAATAAATAGACCATTGACAAACTCTCTTATTCGGAGATAAGTTTTCTTACCCTTAAAGAATTTGGTACAACTGGGATAGCAAGCAAAATATGAGCCATACAAAGTAAAGAGATAATATTGGGTAGAAATAAAAGGGAAAAAGGGGGTGTAATCAAAGAAAAATGAGTGAAAGAGAATGGCTTGCAATAAGAGATACACCTCACTTAAAAGTAGCAGTAAAAGAGAGTTTTCTTACAGTTGACGCACCCCATCTTACCACTACGGGATTTGAATCGACAAATGCATCTCTGTGCTAATGTGGTGTGGCAACTCGAACTGATGTACGTACGTACGAAGTTCTACGTTGTTACTGACTGACTTATAAAAATCCAAAAAAACTAATGCACGATAGCCATTGGCTTCTATTCTGAGCCATGTTTGATAACATCTCAAGCCACTGAGATTTGTCATCTTTAAGATCCCAATCAGGAAGTCGTGATAGGCCAACAGATCCCATTTTTATACAACTTTCTTTCTTACCATCCACACCCGATTGTCTTAATACGGCTGATGGTTGCAAGAGTTCGTTATCCCTCTCGAAATGCTATTACACTGTCATGGGAATTTAGTTTCTGCTACGAAAGTTTTACTCACTGCCTCCACAACGTGCAGGTACTGCAAGAGGACGGAAAGCAAGCGTCTGACGGTTAGACTGGGCTGTTAAATATGAATGATCGACCTAGGGGACTTGTAAAACCCTCACTACAAACCAGTGATGTAGATGGGCCCTGTGATTCTAAGAGAAGGAATAACATATAAATTTATTTTGGCCACCGGTCACCATGGTCTGGGGGTCTCCTGGCACCGCTCTGCTGACTGATGGATTCGACCTCTAGATCAAAGGCTCGGGAAGTGACCCCCTAAGGAGAACATTTACTTCAATTCGAGCGGCCGGGAGTTTCCCAGCACATACAAAAATATTATTGTTATGAATGAAGAAAATGTTCTCGCTTCCCTAGCTATCCATACAAACAATATAATGCAAAGAACTACTTACGAGCAAATTTCTTTTACGCTACTTTATCTTTACATTCCTTTCTTTGTTTTGATTTAAACCTGGAAGTACCCATAATATATTTGAAATGTATTTATTTAACTAACAGCGACTGTACAAACGATATCATACAAATTCAAAAGGAAATATTTACCTCAAGTGTTGTAAGAACAATTGATTCGATTGAAGATAGATACGTATGCCAAAGAAACATTACTTGTTGTCGATATTGAATTATCTGATGCGATGTAATGCGTCGTAGATTTAATGGGAGCAATAAAGGTAATCGTTCGTCAGCCCAAATAACTGCTCGATTCCAATCAATCACTTCAGAAAACGGAAGTTCCAAATCATTGCTCAACATAACTGGGATACAACCAGCCTGCAAAACTTCTAAGAACCTTAATTAAATAATACAAACACGAAAAATAAGAAATGGAATGAATAAGAGTACTTTGCTTTGAACGAATAGAATTCTCATTTCACTAGAATAGTATGATAGGAATTACGAAAATAAAAGAACTCAAGAATTTATTTATTTTTGGGGGTTATATGCAACAAGGTAGCTTCAAAAAAACCCATTAATTTCTTAATGTTAAGGTATTTTTTCGTGAAAATAGCTCACATCACGGAAGAATTCAAGCAAAACGACTACTGAGAGCTCAGGAACGTCGGATGGCTTTCTTTTTTCTAGTTGGAGCTCTTTTGATGTTTACACCCACAACCACACTAAGAATTGATTCCAAAATATTCAGATATTGGGGTGAACTCTTTACCTTTAAATCACTTAGTCGGAATACAATGATCCAAATACCTAAATTCACGCAGTTCGTGATATCCCACAATAAATACCCAGTAGTATTACCGCAATACCTCACACTTTCAACCTAGTTAGGTGAGCGACATCATAGATCGATTGAAGTTAGACATTAACACCGTCGGATACCCCTCAGTGGTCTAGGGGTTAAGCGTTCGCTCAAGAGACTGGAGGTTCTACGTTCGGGTCCCGTGTGAGGGATTGTGGATGCTGAGGAGTCCCATACCGGGACGAAACGGCCGTCCAGTGCTTCCAGGTTTTCAATGGTGATCTTGATAAGTCTCCTAACTGAACGTTAGATTCGGTTCCTAAGCTCTTCTAATAACCCTCAGGCTAGATCCACACAGAGACGTGAACACGAGAGGAAAGGCACGAAAGATGGGAGGAACGCTTTGCTCCAAATGTTCGTTTATGTACAGAAAATTTAGGGTTTTTATAGTATTTTAGATGGTCTTGTGTTTCCGGAAAATTCTGGAACGCTAATAAACATAGTAGCAGCATAGGTAATCATCCAATCCGAGACTTCACGCGTGACTTTTCACTTTCTAGATGTTTCTAGCAAGCCTAGTGGATGATGATTGGATAATATGCTTCTCAGAGTTTGCGGAGCCTTTATTGGCATTTTTCGAGGAGTTTCCTGGATCTCCCCAACAGGTCTAGCCTAGATCGACTCATGAAGTCAACTGTCAAAAAATATTGAACTTTTTTATTTCGACAATATTATTAAAATAATTGACCAAAACCAATGCACCAGAAGCGGGGAATAAAATTACAACACAGTGGATGAAAGACTATCACATTAACTACTCAGCTATAGCACCAGGTAGATAGATAGTATGAGAATTGTGTAACCTAACCACTATGGGTAACCAGTAATCTATTTCATGATTTCATTGCTCGAATATCCTAGATTAATCAATAGCGAGCCCCTATTTCCTTGGTTGTCGAAGCGATTATTTATTTGATCACAATAAATGGATGATTTACCTCCTTGTCTATATTTAATATTGGCTTTTAATTACCGGTATAATAACGCTGCACGTAAGTTTTTAAGTAAACTGATTTTTATCTAATATAGAATCACTTGTGTATATCTATATATTCCAAGTTTTATAACTAATTTACCAAGTACAGGTTATTGTATTCGACTTCGAACCACGCTGTTTGTGTAATGATCAGTGATACCAAGAGGCTGTCCAGCCATACGGCAGAAGCGGGGTTGGAATTTGTGACCTAATTGTTGGAAGTTGATTGGTTCAATCAATAAACCAGAGCACCATATTAATTGTTTTGTCTTTATGGCCTGCTAGTTATCACGTAATCAATTCGCCAATCAAAATACGACTTATTCGCAATCGTACTGTACTAAACCAATGACGTCCGACCGGTCTGATCAGCCTAGCATCCTATTGGTCCGTTGCTCGCCTAGCCTGTTCAGCTGAGTCCAGAATGCCAACAACAGCCTCCATGATGCGAATTATTTATTTCAGACATACTTGGTTTATATACTAGCCAAACATATCGCATCCCACCACAATAAAGCCAAAAAGTGGTTGTGAACGTGGGAGACAATAATCAATAAACAGTATAATTTAAGAACAGTAAATCGTATAATAGTAAATTATAGGTCAAAATGAAGATTATAATAAGAGGAATATAGATATACGCAGTCTAGTTACTGAATATTTATACCATGAGAATATGTAAATAATAGTAGTCCATTAATAGGTCTCAGACGTTACTCGTAATTCAATCTTCACTAGGATATAACATTAAGAGAAATCATACCAGTCTTCTAATTTAATTAACATCGGTGCATACGTTATAAAGGTTCTGATACATAAAAAATGAGATTTTAATCTACATTTTAGTGAATAGTTCTCTATAACCGTACAAACGGAGACTAAAAATATTAATTATAAAAAAAAACATTTGAAAATATTACAGATTCAATGTAACTACAATATTTTACCGATATGAACCTAATCGTCGACCACGAGGAACAAGACAAAACGTGGAATTATACATTAATTCCCAATAATCATATCTAAAAAATAAATAGACAGATTAAATATATCAGTCTATCAAGGTGCATCAATCAATAAACACCATGTAAGATAAAATCAATAGATTTGAAACATGATCTGGTTCATAGGACGTAATAGTTCAAGAGAATTTGAATTACAATTATTTTTTAAGATATGAAAAAGAAAACTACGGTATAATTGGGTGAGGTGATACACTGGTGATTGGAGGTAGTCAACAGGAAACCCTGGACCCGGGTTTCGTGCTACTTGGCACTCGTTAGCAAGGTGTACATGTACTCTTGAGGGAACTTGCGCTCCCTGCACTAAGAAGGATTTGACACACATGACATTGATCACCATCCAGTGATCAATCAATTGTGAGGTGGTACACTAGAACAAGGTTCTTTCGCTACGAAAAGAAATACTGCAAATCAATCTGAAGTTTGAGAGTGCTTAGAAATAAATACTAAAATTAATAATAGTAATATGCGATAACTAAATAAGCTGTTCAATTTGAATATGATATTTAAAAAATTCAAAATGAATTATTTCCATCTTTTAAGTTGCCAGCACACAGAAGAACATAAAATTAAAACAAAAATCTAAGAAATCATCTTCGCATGCAGAAAAAGAAAACCAAGTGTAATTAATGCTGGAATAACAATATAATTACTTAAGAGTTATAAAATGATAAAGTCAATAATTCACTTATAACGATAAAATTCATCATGTCAATATCTTTGAACCACTTTGATATGTATCATTATCATAAAATAGTAAACATAATAGATATTTTTGCAAGCAATGGTGGATAGTGGCTAGCAGTGGAATCCAGGACGCGCGTTTCGTCCTTTTGGGACTCGTCGGCTGGATGTACCTGCATTTCAGAGTTGATGTTCACTCCGGGACTCGAACCCAATATCATTCGCTTCAAATGCTATCACGTTATCCACTCAGCTACTGAGTCCTGATAGCCACTTGCTTGTACAATTGGGTGAATTTAAATTCACTTGGTATTGTTTGGCTTGTATCTTCCCATTGAGGTTTAGGACTGCAATTGATCAGTCTGTTATTGGCATATGTGCATACTGTGTGTATGCCTCGATATTGCCTTAATTGCGATGGCGTTTGAAGCGAACGGTACTGGGTTCGAGTCTCAGAGTGAACATCAACTCTGAGATGCAGGCACATCCACCTGACGAGTCCCAAATAAGACGAAACGCGCGTCCTGGATTCCACTGGTAGCTACTATCCATCATTGCTTACAAAAAAGCTTGTGAATTAAGGCAATATCGAGGCATACGCACAGTATGCACATATGCCAATAACAGACTGATCAATTGCAGTCTTAAACCTCAATGGGAAGATACAAGCCAAACAATACCAAGTGAATAATAGATATTGTCAATCATTACGTAATAATTTATCTATTTTGGACATATATTGAAAACATTTATCAATCTATAGAAACAAACTAGTTCAAACAGATAAAATATGAATGTATAATATTTCAAATGAAAATGGTTGATTTGTATATTAATCGGTAAAAATGAAAATAGGTTTATAACATTTGAAGATGATTGGATCTTATCAAGATTTGATAGTCAATCAAAAGAGAAATTTTTTTTAAAAGTAGGTGACACTATAACTTATGGAAGAACTTTGAGAGATGCTGAAGTAAAGGTTATAAACAAGTGTAAAGAATTAAAATTAGGATTTACAATTGGACGTTAGTGTTAGGAATTAAAGTTTAGGTATCCATCACGAACTGATATCAGCTATAATGTCAAAATGCTAATTAGCCAAATGAATGAATGAATTTCAGGCCAAAATCTAACGGCTGCTATATCAAATCTAATTGGTTCGTCCATAAATTATAGTTTACTTAAAAAGTGCAGTTATTAACAAGTTTTGAAGAGAGGAGACAAAATGAAGGCAGAGAGAACTTACGCATCATATAAAGCCATATCTGTAGCACAACGTTTATCAGCATATCGTGTCCAATCTGTGCCATGACGACAAGTAGTTAACATAATTATATCTTTTCCATTGTGTAAATGAGAAAGTATATCACGTGATGCTGATCCAATCCCACTGACATAACGTTTACCCTATAAGACCAAAAAATAAATGCTCAATCTTTTGTTAGAATTGTACATGTTTGAATAGATTAACAATATTCAAGTATTGTTAATTTTTATCCTTCACTTAGTCAAATTATAATCTTACAATAGTTAACATAGTGAAATATCCCAGGTAAAAATGTCTGCCAACACACCAAAATTGTGAATAATTGTGAACTAAATATTCTGAAGAGTCAACAATATAAATTTGATTTTATTATTTTGACGAATAAAGAGTTTTGAGAGTGATATACACAATAGGAAATCCTAAATGGTATGACATAATTATTTTTAATTGAAATAAATTAATAGTAACTAGATGAGATCGAGAAAAGGAATATGAATATTTATTACGTATTTTCTGATATTCTAATGGAAATCTTAGACTTGCGGCTGTTAATCAAGTCATTAGACAAGTAGTAATTCACATTTAATGAACTGGAATATATAGTGAAATGATTAGAGCTGGAAATAAAACCTAGTTGATCCCGAATTGTGTCCTAATGATTTCTTATTTGTCGTAAGATCTGAATATGATTTGTTGTTGTGTGTATACTGTTGAAAAGTCCCGAATTCAGACGAAAAAACTGCTCAGTGCCACTTAGTCTCTAATAGTTCCGTAACTTATCTCAGGCTATAACGAGAATTGCAAATATGAATATGAACATTACAGATAGAAAAAAAACTACCTTAAAACTTAAAAGATATGGTAGATCAAGTCGACCACGTAAATGTTCACTGCTCACTAATTGATCCAACTGACTTGACCCCGATTGTAAAGGATGTTGAGAGTGAATAAGTGGTAAAGAAATATCAAATTTTGGACGAAAATATTTAGTCGAAAAGCTGGCTTTAGCTAGCATGGCTTGGCCAAGCCATAAACGATATTCATCTTCGTGATAATATGGCCAAGTGCCTGCATGTAAATTAAATATTAAGTGATTACGACCAGCATATTCTGATGGCTTTTGAGTAGTGGTTGAGAGTGAATCAGCTTTTATAGAAATATTGAAAAAGGAAAAATAAATATAGGAGTGTATAAGGTTTCTTTAATTTCGAAAAAAAATTTACGTTGACAAGTACTACTATTATTGTGATACGCTGTGGTATATATAGCAAAAATTAGAAATATTCATTGTTATAGCATAGGAGAAATTGGTTATTAGTCTGCTATGACTAACGAAATTTAGTTGTAAGCAAATAAACATATAATTTATGAATGCGGAGTGTTCAACTACTTTACACTGGTCATACTAAACATCAATATATACGAGTTTTGAAGTGACACTTCGGATAAATGTGTGTGGAACCCAAAACAAACATTCTCGAACTTTTAATTTCTTACATATATTCGACTGAATTGAAATTTTTGGACCTGTTGAAAACTAACTTTTGGAAACTTGTAACCGTCGCTCCCAAAGGATTATAGGATTTTCTCAGCGGTAACTGGTAGCTTATTTGTACCGCAATGGGTGGAACTAAACACATTCAATAAAAGTTCAAATAAATTACAAATGATTATAAACTGAAACCCTAGTGGAGAATTCCATTTATAGCATGTATCTTAATAAAGGTAACTCAACAACTAAGAACCAGTTCAGTTGTTAAGCCCCAGGATATCATTAGAAATATTATTGATATGACCACGGTGAACTAAGTATAGTTGAGTTTCGAGACCACAGCTTCAAATTCGACACTAACATGTTTAAACTAACGAATCATTTGAAATGTGACCCTATTAGGAATGCTCATGTTATTTTTTATCAGTGATTTACATAAAAAGTTAACTAAGTTTATAAAAAGATCTACATGCTTCTAAAAATGTTAAACTTACGATCAAGATCTCGTCTAGGCAACGAATTCCAAAATGGTAAATTAACGAGTTCATGAGCTATATACTGACCGAAATGTGGGCTTAAACGATCTCGATCTAGAGTATCCAAGCTAGGAATAAATATACAAGCTTCATATGGGTCTGATGTGAGAAGTTTTGAATTATGCAAAGCGGTGAGGATTTTTTGATAGGTTAAAGATAGATTGGCTTGTTTTGACGAGAGAGGATATACGTAAACCTGTGAAGTGAATTGTTTTAATAAGTGCCGAATCAAATGAGCGGGCATTAAATAAAGTAAATTGTGAATACGTTAAGGAGACAATTATCAAAAGGGATGTAGTAATAAACCAAACAAAATTTTCTGATGCTTGTGGACATGGCATTGCGAACAACTAGGTAACGACAAATATCCCCTTTTGAGTCAATCTGAGAATATTATGCAAATAATATGAGATGGTATCCAAAACAGGTTTAAAATAAAACACCGATTCAGGTAGTGAACAGAGAAAGTACATTTTTATTTCTCAGAATATACTAAAATGCCATCGCATGTGTTGGGAAACGATAATGATTTTGTTTCTTCATATCAAACCTGGAGTCGGCTTGTTGCACAAAACTGCTGCATTTTCTAGGTTGTGATATTTTCGAAGTCTTTCGAGAATCGTATAAATAATTGTTATGTTCGAAGAATAAATGAATGGTAACTTTCAGGAATTTTTAGTGGAATATCCCGATGGGAGACCTAAACGCAAAAGTAGGGGTGGACAACATCGGGTATGAAGATATCATGGGACGAAATCGACTGACAGGGAGAAGGGAACGAGAATGGTGACATATTTACAAATTAATGTGCATTCAACAAAATGGTTATAGATGGCACCTCATTCCCCAACAAACGCATACACAAAGCTACATAGTTCTCACCGGATCACATTACACAGAATCAGATCGATCATATTTGCATCACTAAAAATTTCAGGTCAATGAACGACATGAGAATAAAGAGAGGAGCTGATACAGCGTTAAACCATCATCTAGTGATTACCAAGATGAAACTGAAGCTAAAGAAGCACTGGACAACTGGACAAACAGCACTACAAAAGTTTAATACAACCTTACTTCGACTTACTACCAACCTCAACCAATTCAAGGTAGCTCTCAACAACACGTTCCAAGCCCCACAAGATCTACTTAAAGAAGAAGGAACTACAAGATGATAACTGGAAAGGGATCAAAGAGGCACTAACTTTAACATGTCAAAAGATGCTGTGCCAAAACAAGCATCATCCAAAGGAATGGATCTCTATCAAAGCCCTGTTTTGGATTCAATAAAGTAAGTATAAGAAAACAACAATTAACAACAGCCGAACAAGAGCAGAGAAAGTCAAGTCACAAACTGAATACACAGCAGCAAATAAGAGAGTGAAGAGGAGCATTAGAGCTGTCAAGCAGAAATAAATGGAACACCCAGAAATGAGAGCGGAAGAAGCTCCAAGAGAAGGAAACATCAGACAATTATATGACACAACAAAGAAACTAATAAGGAAATATAGTAAACCACAGCAATCAGCCAAGAACAAAAAAGGCAAGCCAATCACTGAGATTTAAGAACAGCAGAACGGATGGGTGGGACGCTTTGAAGAACTCCTGATTAAGCCAGATCCACTGAATCCACCAAACATTGAAGCAGCACGCGCAGACCTTTTAGTGACCCTGGAATATCTGACTCCAATTAGATCGGATGAATGATTGTTATCGCAATATACATATCGTCAATTCTCGTATATAATCATCGACTTAAATTACGTTAGTTAATAACGGAAATAAATAAGTCAAATACGAGAATAGCTTTTGAATACTTATATTTTGTACACTCATTGATCTGCACAGACAATCGGGGAGACAGAGCGAAACGGAATGACACACATTGGGGAAGGTATGTGAGCCTGTTCGATTTAATCAAGCGTTAATCGGTATTTGTAGACAGACAAAAATAAGTTACAGACATGTGATGAGTAAGATAAGAAATGCACACACGTATGCCCACATAAAAACAGTTAATGTTGATAAGCAAACAATTAACAAGGTAACTTAAGAAAATGTAACTTAAGAAAAATGGATGAATTGGCTTGTCCAGAAGCTAGAATGTCACTCCACCGACTACCGAAGAAATCAGGATAGCTATCAGAAAAAACAACCTACTCTCACCCTATTTCTTACCGTGGTCGACTGGATTATGAAAAGCTTCACAAATCATGGCAAGCACGAAACACAATGGACAGCTTGCATGCAACTGGACGATTTGGACTTTGCAGATCACCCAGCTCTTCTGTCCCATACACATCAACAAATACAGACGAAGACAGTCAGTGCAGCAGTAGGCCTCAACATACACAAGAGAAAAGCAAGATCCTCAAATACAACACGGAGAACACCAATCCAATCACACTTGATGGAGACTCTGGAACACGTGGAAAAATCCACGTACCTGGAAAGCATCATCAATGAACAAGAAGGATTGGATGCAGACGTAAAGGGGGGGATTAGTAAAGTAAAGACCGCATTCCTACAATCGAAGAACACATGGAAATCAAAACAACCGTCAACCAATATCAAAGTCAGAACCTTTAATATGAACGTCAAAACAGTCAGTTTTACTGTACGAAGCCGAAACGTGGGGAACTACTACAGCCATCATCAAAACAGTACAGGTATTTAATAAAAATTGTCTACACAAAATACTCAATGTTCGTTGATCGGATAACATCAGCAACAACCTACTGTGGGAGAAAAGAAACCAACTTCCAACTGAAGAGGAAATTAGGAAAAGACGATGGAAGTGGATAGGACATATATCGTGGAAATCACCAAACTGCATCACGAAGCAAGCGCTGACTTGGAATCTTGAATGGAAACGGAAAAGAGGAAGACCAAAGAGCACACTGTGTCGGGAATTTGAAGCAGAGATCAAAAGAATGAATAGCAACTGGAAGGTACTGTTCAGGACAGAGTTCAACGGAGAATCCTGGTGGGTGGCCTATGCTCTTCTACGAGGGGTAACAAGAGTGAGTAAGTAATCACTATACACATTCTTATTGCATGATTATTGAGTAACTAGATTATATGTGTTTATATTCCGTTTATCATAAGCTTTTGTTTGACCCATTAACTATTATTATGCAGTTTACTATTCTTAATTTATTCTTAATCCATTATTTACAGTCTCCCCTACTCACAGCTACTTTCGGTTTGGTCTTGTATAATAGTTATTTTTCATGTTATGGTGTGAGGGTTTCTAGTACTCTTGTATATAAACTAAATGTTTCTGAAGTATAATATACATATAGTGGAGGCAAATATTGTTTTCTGGACTCAACGAACAGAGTAAGGTGAAGAGCAACTACGTTGAGGACCAATAAGGATTCAAAGTTAACTCAAGGCTGCTAGTGCTGGTTGACGTTGTCATTGGTTTAGTACAGAGACAAGGTCATAGAAGTCGGTATTTTGTCACGTGATATTGGACAGGGTCATAAGTCATAACTAAGCCATAAGGAAGGGCAACTACATAACTCCATTATTCAAAACCGCAAACGAGTTTATATACGGTTGTACGTTATCATCACTGCCCATCACAAGTATACTTGGGATGCGTTTTTCTCCCTTTAAATCGAAAGTTTTTTCAGGATTGGTCCGTGTCAATACTTGGACAAATAATAAGGAGTAAAGTAAAATGCGTCGACAACTTCATCTGATCAGCCCTGGTGGGTTGGTGTCTGACGAAATCTAAGCACGAATTCAAAAAGCTCAGTCGGACTTCCTTAACTCGTCACTGGGTGTACACTGTCCATCAGATTACCCTGTATTACTTTGTGCTATGAAAAATTGTCTTTCGAAGTGGAGGACATATGTAGACTGAAGATTTTTGATCGCCGGTGTCTTTGAAGCATTACTTGCGTTTCGTGGAATGACCATGTGAGCGAAATTGGGGTGGGGCTTAAGGTTTTGTGACCCGTTGATCTAACTCCCCTTTGAACGAACGTATAGAAGTATTTATATGCCATGAACATAAACCTAACATTTAACTCCGTATATTACCTAGGTTAATCTGAAGCTAGATATAGTTGGGTTGAATGCATTTATTTCAGACACTCGTTTTATCCATATAGACAATAAAAGAAACGAAGAGGGGAAGGCGAGTGAGCCAACTCATTTTGATAAAGGGACACTCAACATTTAAAGTCAGACAAAAACAAGTTACAGACACGCGATGAATATGGTAAGCAATACACATATGCTGTCAAATAAAGACAGTCAAGGTTAATAAGCGAATAATTAACAAGATCAAAATGTAACATAAGAACACTAAATGAACTGGTCTATCCGGAAGCTGGAATAACCCATGTAAGCTTAACATAGTACTGAACACTACAAGGGTATTAGGAAAAGATAGTAAACCGGTTAGTGAGGTTACGTTCTCATCGACTGAGATGTTTAAGATATATATTACGTATGTCTAACTATCGTCTACGTCGATGGACGATCTTGGTTGGTGTAGGAGCGGGTCGAACGAAAGCTATAGGCGACCAAAGCAAAACGTTTCACAAGTTCGTGAAGTTATTGACTGTGGATTTGAGCCATGTTAGTAGATGCAGACCACCCAATTGGAGTCTGTGTGATGGTCGCAATCAGTGGCTGAAAACTTTGGGTGACATGGCTGAGAACCCTTCACAATAGCACAGTTGAATTCGCTCTTTATCTTGAACTCCAGTATACGTTGATACATACCTTTTCAATCCTTCCTTTCGAGCTATATTTTGAATGGACAATCTTTTCCATTATTAATGCTACCACATTATTCCGATCTCTTTTGCTATACATCTCGTTACTTTCACCTCGTCGTAGCAACGTGACACAGAGACTTGGGGCAACACACATTTTTACAAGGCTCCACGTTGATGACGACTAACTGAATAAAATTCTACTTCAGTTGCAATGAACGAGGTTGCTTCTATTCTCTTCCTTCGTTGCTGCTAGTTAGAGATAGAAGTTTTAGCCTGTCTAGAAGTTCAAACGATAGAGACCCAAGCAGAATGAACTCTCATTTGAGCGCATTCGATTACAAACCAATTACATTCAGTGATTAGTAAAAGAAATAATTAAACTGAACAATATTCACAAGAATTTAATATAGCTAAATATTATACTGAGCAAAATGCAAGTAAACGAAAGGCTACGTTGGATTGATTGATACAAATTAATGTTGTAAAAAGCAAAAACTATACTGGATTAATTCAAAAATCAAATGAACAAAACTCGCACTAGGTTTATGGAAAAGTCAACTACATAAAAATTATATTTCAGCCAACGCAAAATCTCCTGTTACTACGGTATAATTGAAGACTTAGCATCCACAACAGTTAGCTTTTGTGAGCACGGATGAAGATGTGGCAAACGAAAGTAGTTCTCATATGACAGATCATAAGCGATGTTTTGTGTCACTACGGTAATAGCCTGTTTATAAAAAGAGCAGGCATGTAACGCTTCAATCCATTCTATTTTGCTTCACCCTGACCTCTTCGAGTTGACGATTTTTGATCATCATCACTGTACAACGGCTTTCACTTGATAAAAGTACTGTGTACGTGAATTCGATCTAATGCTGTATGTTTCTTGGAATAGTGCATTAACTTTGGTGGTGTAATCCCAAAACACTGGCCTGTTAACGTAAACATACTTATTTCGTCTCAGTTCCCATCCTGGGAATAATTGTAATAAGGTTAAGTGGTCAGTAAATTACGTAGTGTATTAGTATGGAAAGTGTAATGTCTGGTTGGTATTTGTTTAAGTACTAAGACTCCGTGTACAGGGTTCTACAGAATACGTGACTCAGTGGTTTGAGATTTCGACAGTTAATCAAAATCGAAGACAAGAGAAGTCTTGATACTGTTTTCTGTAAAATCAAAAGACAACAGCAAAAGCCGTTCTAAAATTGTCTTATGTAAATGCTCTCACTTGTTAAATATTCTTCAATCCATCTAATGCGTGACTTGCTGAAAATGTTGTCATACTGTTCTATGTAATCTATTTTTCGATGACTCTACAGTACAAAGCTTTTGCTCAGAAGACTTAGAAAATAACGAACAAAAACGTTTTGGGTCTAAGAGCTTGAAAATATACCAGCAATCACAGGAATAGGGTTGCATGTCGAAAAATGAACGTGCATTGAAATTTAACTATGTTTTCCTTAATTAATGTGTGATTTAACATAAGACAGAATTGGAAAGTAGTGATATGAAGTAGCATTACAATAAATAAATAAGTTTTAACCCTTCAGACAAATTTAAAATAACGGACACTATACTGTATAGGTGCAAGACATAAATGATTAAAACTGTATACTAACAAGATAACGTTAGAATATATAGAAGTGTGATTATAAAAATTAAACATTGTGCTTCCACTCACCTTAAATTCCGATTGACACAGTGTGTAATCGAAGCAGTTATCCATACGGCACGCCTCTTTAATACTTATATCATGTGAGAACTTTACATGAGTCTTCTTATACAAAAAGTCTAACCATTGGTTTTCAGGAAGAACGTTCTCAACATGAACAGACACCTTCTTAATGCTATTTCTGACGTAAATTTCTTGGTTGTATAAGTTAAAAAGACAGAAAAATATTGTATTTGCGAGAAATGACGCCAGAAGAGCCGATAAGGTGAATAAGAACACCCAACGTTGCCAAGTGCTCATGAAAATTGAATAACAGTTTATTGAATTTAATAGTTTATTTTCTGATCATACAGCAACTGCTAGTAAAGTTCATATTGTTTACTGGTTATCATTTGAATTAGAGAAAATACACTGGCCAATATGTTTATCTAAAAACTGAAATGATCATCAATACTTAAAGGGATGCGAAATATCATACAAATATAATGCATAAAATCCTCATTCATTTCTATTCATATTTCCTACTCCCTTGTACATGGAAACATAAACTTTGGTAGAACAAATGTTCCACCAAGGCTAAGGCTTTAGTGGTCTCAAACAGACCATAATGATATGTGTATTTAGTAGTTTGTAAGTACAAAATAAAGACCATATCTTTGATTTGATTGTAGAACGTATATTCAGTAAGATAAAGGTTAGGTATTCGCTCTAACGTAATATAGCACTTTCGAGAGAGGACTATTAGCCGATTTTTAGCAGTTAAACACTTAAATCATCTACTTAAGGGCGGAGATTCCGTGATAGTTACAGATCACAAGCCTTTGATATATGCCTATAACGCCAAAAGTGATCATTATTTCCCTAGAGAAGCGCAAAAATTAGATATTTCTCAGTCTTCGACTAATATTCAGTTTATAAAAAGTGAATGGAATGTTGTTGCAGATGTATAATCACGCCGGAACGTGGGTGCTATCATCTTGAACAGAGGAACCGAACATACTGAGTTTAGTGGCTCACGATACTGATCTCGCCGCCTGTAAGCAAAACTTAATTTTAATATTCAGCAGTATTCCATTGCCGCATCTTGAATTAACAGTAATGTGTGACATCTCAACTAGATCAAACAGGCCATTTTTACCAACAGGTCATAGAAAACATGTCTTTGACCATCATCTCCCCCGGTATTTGTGCCACCTTGAATTTGATTTCGGGAAGATTTGTATAGACAAAAATGGGGACCCATGTTTTTTTTTAAAAATGACTCAGAACTACTTGGAATATCAACGGAATACGATTTACGAATATACGATCACTAAAAACGCCAAATTCGACCCACTGGAACGACGTTTTCAACATGTTTATATTGAATAGGTCGATTCGTTAGCCCCGCCCGATGGTCTTATGTTTTCACAGACGTTAATCATTTTACCAGGCGTTCACACGTATATTCTGTAAACAACATCTTAGCCGAAAACATAGCTACCATATTTCTAGACAGACGGGTCTCTAATTTCGGCAGACCTTCTACAATTACTATTGATAGAAATCTTCGGTTTCAATAGGGTTCCCACTAAATCAGTAAGACAACATGCCAACCAGCAGCAAACTAACAGGTAAAGCAATTCTACAGACAACTTAAAAGTTCGCTGATAGAGCAACTTCGTGTAACTAGATGGAGCGAATAACTAACCTTGATTTTACTGAATATATGTCCGTCAAAAGGTTGCGCCGACCCGTCCTAATTTATGGAAGACAGATATAAAGGCAACCAACTCCGCAGCATCGGCTGAAAACTGAGAAATTGATTCAAGGGCATCAGTACAAGAGGCATGGACTCTTTTCAGGCAGTTATACAATCGAGTAACTCAACCATGCATACCCTGGACAGTTCCAAAGAAGAAGAAGCACGACCATCCCTGGATAGGCCGGGATATTCGACGTCTACTAAGACAAAAGAAGAAATGTTGGGATGTTGCCATCCGCCTTGGTACAGCACGTACGATGGAACGCTACGAATCGGTAAGAAACAAGTGTATAACGAAAATTCGGGAATCTCAAAGAAAATATGAAATGCAGTTGGCACAATCTGCACTCAAGCAGCCCAAGAAAATATTCTCGTACATAAACTACAGAACAAGGATGCATTATTGAATTCCCAACCTAATTAAAGAAGGGAGTGAATCTGAAATGATAGAGGAAGATCAGGAAGAAGCAGAGGCTATGGCTGACTATTTTGGGGCAGTTTTCACTCAGGAACCTTCTCTAGACAAAGAACCAGACCAAAGTAAAGAGTCAACAAACCACCTGCTCACTGTGAACTTCGACCAAGATGATGTGCTTAAGGCTCTTATCACCTTAAACATGGAAAAGTCGACAGGACCAGATGAATTACACCCCAAAATCTTGAGACATATTACACAATATATCGCGGCCCCACTGACTGTGATATTCAATATGTCACTTGACCAAGGTGTGTTACCTATGGACTGAAAAGACGCAATCGTCACTCCCATACATAAAACAGGACCAAGACAAGTTCCATCAAAATACAGACCTGTAGGCTTCACCAGTGTTGTAGTTAAAATATTGGAAAGAATAGTCAAACGAACCATAATGGCATTTATGGAAACCAATAACTTGCTAAACATAGAACAACATGGTTTTAGAAAGGGTCTATTTTGTACGACGAACCTCCGTATAGCAAGGGAATCTTGGATAAAGGCGCTAGACAACGGAAACTCAGTGGATGTTGTCTACATAGACTTCAGTAAGACTTTTGACAAGGTGCCAACTAATAGGCTGCTATCAAAGTTGGCAAACCTTGGTATTGCCGGACCTCTTTTAAAATGGATTAAGGATTTCCTAGTAGGTCGTAGGCAAAAAGTAAGAATAAATTCCAAGTGCTCCATCTGGGGACCAGTACTTAGTGGAGTACCCCAAGGTTCCGTTCTAGGTCCTTTGCTTTTTATAATGTATGTTAATGATCTTCCAAGTATAGTACAGTCTCCAATGTTATTATACGCTGACAATGTAAAGATCTGGCGAGTAATAACTGGAGACACAGACGCGTGTGCTCTTCAGGCAGACTTAAATAACATGATTAACTGGTCTAAAGAGTGGCTGATGCCTATCAAAGCGGAAAAGTGTGTCTACATACACTTTGGGGATTCGAAGGTTAATAGGTACAACATAGGGGAAGTGCCATTACCCGTGGTCCGGTCTCATAAGGATCTAGGGGTGACAGTGAGTCATGATCATAAGACGACGGCCCATTGCCGGGAGGTCGCAGCTAAAAGGTTTCGGACCCTCTGGGCTTGTTAGCGGGACATAGACTAGTTTAAAGCAAGCTCAATGCACGATTGCTTTGGTGCACGCTGATTGGCTAATTCTAATCCAATCAGCACTAGTCGATAGTTGGAGAATACTCTAGAATCTTCTCATGTAAAAACTATAAATACACTGACGTTTTCCCTATTTTGCTTCTGGCTTGCATCTTGCTTTCATCTAACCTTGTTATTTGGAATATAATCTCTTTCCTGTTCAACCGTGTTCTGATTTGGGGTCTTGTCGAGTGAATCGGTATCCAAGAATACTAAGCAATAGGAATAGCTGGGTCATAACCGTAAGACGAGAGAGTTACAACAGGGCTTTAAAACGGACATTCACTAAGTTAGATACTACCATGTTCACCACAGTATACATATCCTTAGTGAGAACTAAGCTTGAGAACAGCGTCCAGGCTGCAAACCCCTGTTTAGAAGGTGACTCGGACATACTAGAAAAAGTACAGAGAGCAGCCATCCGTGCAATTCCGGAACTCCGGGGTTTATCATACAAAGAGCGGCTTCAAAAATTGGACCTCTTTACTCTGTCCTATTGCAAATTAAGGGGAGATCTAATTTTGATGTTCAGAATACAGAGAAATGACTTTGGACCTAACCTATTCTCTATTTTGCTTCTCACTAGATCAGGACATCTCAGAGAACTTAGCAGGCGCGTAGAAAAGCCAAGAACGAACAAAATACCCGTGGTATACATGTTTTCACACTGAGTCATCAATACTTGTAACCTGCTGCTCGAAGCAGTGGTGTCTGCACCTTCAATTCAGATTTGTGTAGTAAGAACAGGACGCCTATTGCCTATCATATTCCTTTTCTAGTATGCTTCTGTGAGTGTCCAGTCTTCTCTTGAATGAGTCAGTCGAAAGTGCTGTGCCATGTTGTTCTATGTTTAGCAAGTTATTGGTTTCCATAAATGCCATTATGGTTCGTTTGACTATTCTTTCCAATATTTTAACTACAACACTGGTGAAGCCTACAGGTCTGTATTTTGATGGAACTTGTCTTGGTCCTGTTTTATGTATGGGAGTGACGATTGCGTCTTTTCAGTCCATAGGTAACACACCTTGGTCAAGTGACATATTGAATATCACAGTCAGTGGGGCCGCGATATATTGTGTAATATGTCTCAAGATTTTGGGGTGTAATTCATCTGGTCCTGTCGACTTTTCCATGTTTAAGGTGATAAGAGCCTTAAGCACATCATCTTGGTCGAAGTTCACAGTGAGCAGGTGGTTTGTTGACTCTTTACTTTGGTCTGGTTCTTTGTCTAGAGAAGGTTCCTGAGTGAAAACTGCCCCAAAATAGTCAGCCATAGCCTCTGCTTCTTCCTGATCTTCCTCTATCATTTCAGATTCACTCCCTTCTTTAATTAGGTTGGGAATTCAATAATGCATCCTTGTTCTGTAGTTTATGTACGAGAATATTTTCTTGGGCTGCTTGAGTGCAGATTGTGCCAACTGCATTTCATATTTTCTTTGAGATTCCCGAATTTTCGTTATACACTTGTTTCTTACCGATTCGTAGCGTTCCATCGTACGTGCTGTACCAAGGCGGATGGCAACATCCCAACATTTCTTCTTTTGTCTTAGTAGACGTCGAATATCCCGGCCTATCCAGGGATGGTCGTGCTTCTTCTTCTTTGGAACTGTCCAGGGTATGCATGGTTGAGTTACTCGATTGTATAACTGCCTGAAAAGAGTCCATGCCTCTTGTACTGATGCCCTTGAATCAATTTCTCAGTTTTCAGCCGATGCTGCGGAGTTGGTTGCCTTTATATCTGTCTTCCATAAATTAGGACGGGCTAGGGCAACTGTTTGACAGGCAATCTCAGTCATGAATTGGAATTAGATGACTGAATGGTCACTTCTCCCTAGTGATGGGAGAAAAGTCATTTGACCAACGTCATCACCGTGTGTGAAGACTAAATTTAAAAGAGAAGAAGAGTTTTTAAGTCATATCTTGTGAGGTTTCTGATGTGTTGGAATAAAGCTAATCCAATCGAGGTTTCTTATAGTTTGCAATCGAACGACGTTATCGATGACCCTACTTCATAGTTAACCTAGCTTATATGCTGTGTATTAAAGTAGCCTACTACAAGACTTTTACCCTTGTTAAACCAGGACTTTAGTTTACTTAAGAGAAAATCATCTACTACACACTCTGGACTGCGATATACTACAACTAATTCAATATCTTGCCATCTACATTTCGGCTTGCATTTCGTCAGTTCACATGTCCCTGAGCCTCTCTTATGGTTAGGGTACTATTCGTGCACAGGATAACCCCGCCTTCTCTACTGTTTAATTTATTAGTTCTACTGGTTAAAATACTAGTCAACTAAACTCCATTATCTGATACATCTGACGTTAACTAAATTGACTCGTTTAACAGAAGGCTGGACACTCACAGAAGCATACTAAAAAAGGAATAGCGTAGGCCGTAGGTCTTCTGTCCTTACTACACAAATCTGGAGCTGGAATCTACAATCGAGGAAAGATACGGTATTTATTTTGTGTCTACAAAAATTATTAAATACACATAACATCAGAAACCGCAATGATGATTAAACATGACGATCTTCACAACTCAACCCTATTTATGGAATATACTCAGATCTGAGAAAATTTCGGGGTTTTTGTGTCATTTCCTCAGAATTTTCTACAGTGCTGCTCGGATGCAAACAGCTTGTTAACCGAGGCTATCTCACTGGTTGATGCTGCCAAGAAGTGTTTCAACAAGCATAGTCGGAACGCGTCAAACAGCACTCGATCTGTTGACACGCAAATCAATGTGAAGGAAACTAAGGTGAGTCCGGTGATAGATGACTCACGCCCGTCGAAGAAGGAAAAGCAGTCTCCAAAGGGGTCTGCCTTAAAAAAAAGCTCAAGAAAAGTAGGGTCTTCTGTTCCCCGTCTCCCAGATGGGATCCAACAGGAAACACCTAGGAGCCGCAATCGCAAGGCTCTATCGGTTTCAAATGGTAAACATAACACGACCCCTCAGGTCGTCGACAACCCCCCAAAACCCAACACTAGTTTTGACGCAACTGCTATTGCTTCTACCAGCAGCGTTAACGAATGGGTAAAGGTTGTAAGGAAGAAAAGTATTGATATAAAAGGGAAACCTGCCCCCGTAAAAGTGGTTGAAAAATCGAAAGCTGATCATAGCGACAGATCAGCTATTTTTCATAGAATTAAGGAGAGCGATAGCTCTGAACCTAAAGCTCGTTTTGAGCATGACATTGTACTGATTAGGCAGCTGCTTAATCAACTCATGCCTCAAAATATGACTGGGGTCACCTTGCTAAAGGTGTATAGACTAGGGAGTCTAACGGACTCGAAACCAAATCATTCCAGACTGCTTAAAGTAGTATTCGGCTCTTCAAACGAACGTGACCTAATTTTACAAAATGGACACAAATTAAAGGGTTCGGGAGTCTTTATCCGAAAGGACCTACCGTTGGCAGACCGTGTTAAAAGACGGGAAGCCGAGAAAGAACTACAACATAGGTTAGACGCTGGCGAAAAGGACCTGAAAATTGTAAATTTTCGGGTTGTAAGACTTCGACAGAGAATGATGCCGAAGCCACTCTGGGTGAAGCACGAAGGCACCTAAACAGGCTTCGGATCTGTTACACCAATGCACGAAGCTTACTTAATAAGCGATCGGAACTAGGTGTACAGATTGACTCTATAAAGCCAGATATAATCGCAGTAACAGAAACCTGGCTGACACAGGCTATAGATAGTATAGAACTTGATTTCGAGGGCTTTACGTTAGTAAGGGCCGACAGAACACAAAAGCGCAAAGGAGGGGGAGTAGCTCTATTCATTAGGAATGCTATCCCATTTACCATTATCGATAGTGTATCCCATGAGAGTGGGACGTGTGAATTAGTTAGTCTTCGCTTAAAATGCAAGGGACAAGAGCTGCTGATTGGTTTGGTCTATCGCAGTCCAAGCTGTGAGGCAAATGAGATCCTGTTAAGCAGTCTCAATACTTGGTCCCAAAGTGGTCGATGTCTAATCCTAGGGGACTTTAATGCACCAATGGTAGACTGGGAAAATCTGCGAACTGAATCGTCAGAAAATTCCTTCGAGCAGGAACTAGTTGATGCGGTTATCACATGTGCCCTAGTGCAACATGTGAAAGAAGCGACTAGGTACGACCCGGACACTGAATCATCCTTATTAGATCTTATACTGACTCACTATGAGGATGATGTTGCGAACCTCCACCATATGCCACCCTTAGGTAAAAGTGACCACGCAGTCTTAACTTTCGACTTCCATATAACTGCCAGTCATGAGGACGCGTCAGTCCAATCCAGACCCAACGTCTGGAAAGCAAACATACCAGACATCATGCACTCAGCATCGTTAATAGATTGGACAATAGACCCAGAGTCCTCCATTGAAACGGCCTGGGACACATTTCGAAAATCATACTTAAAAGTTACCACACCTCACATCCCTTGGACTATACCAAAGGGGCCGAAAAACTCACCACCATGGTTCAGTAGGGAGGTCCGTATCCTTCTCCGTAAGAAAAGGAAAACGTGGGATAGATTTAGGTTACTGGGGACTGATGAGTCAAAATCTCAGTATCGAAAGGCTCGGAACACTTGTGCCTCGACCCTCCGTAAGTCTAGAAAATTGTACGAAGAAAAACTTGTTAAGGAATCCATAGAATGTCCTAAACGCTTGTATTCCTATATAAACCAAAGGACAAGGAGAAAAGGAAATATTCCTGCTCTATGGGGAGACAGTACTGCTTCATCATTAGTGGAGGACGACTTTGGTAAGGCTCAAGCGTTCTCGAACTACTTTAGCAACGTGTATACCATAGAAGCGCCCTTCTCGTCAGCGTATACAGATCCCCCCATACATACACTGGATAGCGTGACCATTAAAGAACTCGATGTCTTTGATCTGCTAAATAAGCTTGACACAGGTAAATCCACGGGGCCCGATGAATTACATCCTAGGCTACTGAAGGAATTATCTAACTTCGTTGCGAACCCTTTAAGTACATGCTTTAACCTATCCGTTACGCAGGGTCGCTTACCGAAAGATTGGAAAAACGCCATAGTAAGTCCTGTCTTCAAAACAGGCACGAAACACAAACCTGAGAACTACCGCCCCGTTAGCCTAACTAGTGTGGTTGTTAAAATATTAGAAAAGATTATTCGGAAGGAGCTGTTTAAGTATCTCGATAAAAACCGGATCCTCTCGGAGAAGCAGCATGGCTTCAGAATAGGTTATTCTTGTCTCACTAACTTATTAGTGGCTCGTGAAAGCTGGTGTGCTCTTAAGGACCAAAAGCTACCTGTAGACGTCACCTTCATTGATTTCAGTAAAGCCTTTGATAAAGTTCCGCACAACCGGCTGTTATATAAGTTAAGACATGTCGGGATTGGAGGTAATTTATTGATGTGGATAAAAGACTTCTTAGTTGGGCGTCAACAAAGAGTAAGGGTGAACTCAAAGTTATCTAGCTGGGAAACTGTGCTTAGTGGAGTGCCCCAGGGTACAGTTTTGGGGCCAGTGCTATTCCTCTTGTATGTAAATGACCTTCCTTGTCTCCTATCATCATCGGTCTTGCTATATGCTGACGATGTCAAGATATGGAGAACGATACGATGTAAGAGTGATAGCTTAGAACTTCAAAATGACCTGAAGAAGTTATCTGAATGGTCTCAAACATGGCAGTTGCCGATAAATACTTCCAAGTGTGTTGTGATGCATATCGGTCATCAAGGCACAGATACATACACGATGAATAACACTGAGCTACCTGTCGTCCAGACATATAATGACTTAGGAGTTATCGTTAGTCAAGACTTAAAGACTACTGCACACTGCCGTGCAATAGCCGCCAAAAGTTTTAGAACGTTATGGTCAATACGTAGGGCTTTTAGTCATGTCGACACTAAGACGTTTTTGACTTTGTATACAGTGTTCGTTCGTCCTAAACTTGAGTACTGCATACAAGCGGCTAGCCCCTGCTTTAAAAAAGACAGAGAGCTCCTGGAAAAGGTTCAGAGAACGGCGACTAAGCTGGTTCCCGCAATAGCGAAGCTTCCGTATGAATCTCGACTGGCCAAGCTGAACCTTTTCCCGTTGTCATATCGCAGAACTAGAGGCGACTTGATTACAGTCTACAAATTGCTTAGTGATAAATTTGCACCTAACATGCCCTCATTTTTCTTGTCTTCCAAAACAGAGAATTTACGAGGACACTCCAAAAAAGTTCATAAGCCGAGAACAAATTACTTGTCAGCTGACTATCGACTTTCCCATCGAATCATCAACGAGTGGAATTCACTACCTCAGCACGTGGTTGAGGCTCCATCCGTCGACTCTTTCAAAAGAAAGTTGGATCAACTGAGAGACCACCATTGCCAGGACTAACATAGGCCATCGAGCCTCCTGTCCTTCCCAAACTGAAACTGAAACTGAAACTAAAGCGTCCCCAGAGTACGGAGATTGGGATCGATGTCTCAAAGTATACTTTTAAAAAATCGAGGAAGTAACTTCACTAAAATCAAGAGAGTGAAGGAGTCTCTAATAGTAACGATAAGCCAGAAGATATGAAATTAACGAGAAAATATACATTAGCTAACACACCTGGCGAATGATGTGAGGATAATTTTTCAGCAGAATTAGTGTCATTAATTAGGAACAAACGGAAAGAAGCGAGCAGAATAATGAAATGGCTGGACGTGGGAGGAATGGCAAAGTATCTGTCAGGGTTGTGAAACAAGTTTCCGCGACCCTTTACAAGCCGCCACAAGCACGACCTTCAGACGTAGAACCAAACATTGCGACAATCTGTAGGTCAATAATTACTTCATTTAAAAGAGTGATTCGGAAAAACGCTACTTTTACTCCGATAATGTTTCATAAACAAATAATGTACTACCGAAATCGCCACAGATTACTGATGAAAACTGTTGACAAATGTGTGTAGATATGCATGACAAGCTTAATTTGTAAATAGTTTTTGATGTTATTTGTATATATTTTGTTGGTTTTTCATAGCCTGTACATTTATCAATAAACGGTTGTACGTGTTACTTAGGTGTATGACCTAGAACACACTTTCTCCCGTTGTGTCATTCTCATAGCATGACACACTGCTACCTACTAACAAATACACTGTTACATACATACCTCTTGTTCTCCATTCGCTCGTCATTGTGTTAACTGAACTGAAGATTTGAAATTTTTTTCTTCAGTTACCCTAACTTCGTTTTGTTTCACAGCCAGACCTTTCACAACGAGCAGGTTAGGTGCCGATATGAATTTTTTAGCTGTGGTACAGTGTTTTGAGAAAATATATGTAGACTTGTAGAATTATGGTCTACTATGATATTAGTACTGCTCTAATAATAAACCTTATCCTAAAATTGTAGATTTGTCATGATATAACTGCCTAATCTATAAGGTCTTACGTGGAAGTCACATCATCGTCTACACCAACTCACTGCATCGTAACAACGACCAATACATGAAGAAGAACAAGCTTAGGCTAGAGGAAGAACAATATATTTAATATGAATAAAAGATATAGGGTAATATTCAGCAGGGACCACGCCTGCATGGCCGAGTCATGCCATTTGATCAACTCTAATTCATTCAATTCCTTGTTCGCTCCTTCTTCATCGTTAGGTATTTCTCCGTGTTAAATATTCAATATCTATTTTCCGAGTAATCTCGTATTCAGCTTTGGGGATTGTGTGGTTATGATCCAATGCCACTACAGATTCACATTTTTCAAAACCTCTTGTAAATTGTTTTCTTTTTGTCCGCTTGTTACCTTCTTAGAATCTGTATGTATATTTTTTCCCCGGTTTCGTGGCTCTACTGTGATGTCATTATTCAGACCTGACGCTTGGTTTATTATTATGCACATTTACATTCTCGAGATCTGACACTCACATCATGACATTTACAGCTGGTGGCTGTAGTTGACCTCAGTAAAAGTGCTTATTGAAGATATATTTATACGTACAAAATTACCTACACTATTCGTCGAAGTGTCTGTTTATGAATAGAGCAATACGGTAACAAATAGCGATCACAACAAAATAGTATATAAAATAACGACGCGATTGCAATTACTATGAAATGAATGCTACCAGAATAATAACTACATGTGCGTTCTTCTGGACGTGAAGGAACTGACGGTGTGACGCGACACATAAACTCGATGGTGCACCGAAGAATATTACTGTCCGAAATTCCGACGTAGTATAGAATGACCTAAAATGATGCCATAACGCTATTGTAATCTTCAACCACAGGCCGGAGCTAATAAAGCAGAACAATATATGAGAGAGAGCGTTTTTTAATATTAACCGAAGCGTGAGTATTAACTAGCCAATCGAATATGTCTGTTTTATAATGATGCACATAAAGAGTAAGTATTGGATATAAATGTGGTTACACAAATAAAGAAAAAATGTGGTCTTTATTTTGTCGTTACCAAAATCCTTGAATATACATGACACTGTAATGCTTATATAAGAGTAGCAACTTAGATATATTCATCAGCATGTTCGCATAGTCAGAGTGACTATAACTTGCAACACCCCTAAAATGCAGCCAATGTGACGGAAATGCACAATTTGCGATAAAACGTGTTCCAATTATCAAAATATATCCCACAGGCGACCACAAAGAAGTTTGTGAAATATTTCATTTGATAAATGGACAAAGAAAAAGTATTGTAAAGGTTACGCCCAAGTTGTTACTCCCTTCGGTTATTGAAGTACGGTATATCGATTTATTTTCAACTTACTAACCCAAACTACTAATAGAACCAAGCTTCAAGTTAAGTGCTAAAGTTTATTCGCAATTTATAAATAGTCGACCCAAATGTCGTTCTATTATTAACTAAAACGATTACAAAAGAACCTTCAGTTTTGTAGGTTTCGGGAGCAAAAACTTCCAAATACCAAACCAAAGACAGAGGAGAACCAAAATATCCTAATTTAAAGATATAAACAAACAAGTTCAGAGGCTGAGCAAAACAAATGCATCCAAAACACAGTGAAATCGTTAATATTCAGTATGAAAGTTTCTAATGAGACAAATGTTTTCAGTTCCCATGTAACAGGAAACACAGAAGAAAAGGCGAAGGCAGCCTATATAAGGTTTTAAGTCGCACTCGCAAAAAGTGCACACGAAACCCGTTTTGCAAGTCTACCGTTAGATTCACTAGTTACAAACTATTCGATGAATTTTTCCGCGTTTATAATATGAGTACGAAAAACATTCATCAACAGTTTTCATCAGTAATCCAACTATTTATTGTATATAGACGCTGTGCTCTCTCTAATTCACTCATTAGCGCTAGAATGAATAACATCACTTAAATAAATAGGAGAAAACTCACCCGATTTCTGAAACTGTATTCGGTAAACGAGTCACTTGTGCTTATGCAAATCATCGTTAACTTGGATTCGCATCATAGACTTCCTGTATTTTTAGCTGAAATCCCCACAGACAACCAACGCTCATTCTCATAACAATATGTAACTGTTACAGTTCCGGGCATTTCATGTTTATAAGAAAAATCCTTTCTCGCAGTAATGTTGACGGGGTTCATTCTGTTAGAGAGTGTATAGTTTTGGTATTTGTACGAACTACTAATTCCTATGTGCCGCTGCTGCCCGCTGATTGCGAATCACAAATACAACATGTTCATTTGTGCCTGTCTAGTTCTACCTGTCTAAAATTGCGCTATTTCGAAAACGTATAGTGGGCACGTTAATTTGACTACTTCTAATTATCATAATAATATTTATGTACTGGAGTGGGAGGGCCTCTACTCACTTCCCCGAATTATCTAGTTGTTTCAGAAAGAGCCAATGACAAATGTCGATATTCTGGTTTATTTTTCTGCCCAACCACTAGAGCGAGGCTGTCTATGGTCACTGAACTATATACGGTTTGAATAGATGGTAACTAAATCTGCCTCAAAATACAAACCATTATCATCTACCAATATCACAGGAACTCCTTCTGAACTAAACATTCAGTGCTTCTTGACTTCTTGATGTTCAAATTGTGAAATCAGCATGACGTGAAGGGATGAGTAATAACAACAATATATTTCTGCCAGGGCAAGTACATACACAAATGTCGAGACAGTTCTACCTGGAGAACTACAAAAGTCACCATCCAGAAGAGACAAGTGTTTATTGATAGCTTTCTACTCAAAATACTTCGGATTTGTTGGCCAGACACTATCACCAACAACCTACTATGGGAGAGAACAAACCAGATTCAGGCGGAGGAAGAAGCTCTTGAAATGGATAGGACACACATTGAAGAAAACACACAACTGCATCGCAAAGCAAGCCCCACATGGAATCCTCAGGGTCAAATGAAAAGAGGAAGACCAAAGAACACATTACGTCGAGAGATGGAGACAGACATTAGAAAAATGAGCAACAATTGGATAGAACTAGAAGGGAAGGCCTGGAACAGATTGAGTTGGGGAATGCTGGTTGGTGTTCTACGCTCCATCGGGAGTAACAGGCGCAAGTAGGTAAGTAAAGGCAAGTACACATCACTTTTGCAGGCATAGTGTATAAGTTAAAACATTGGGTTGCGCATGGTATGCTTTCCAAGTGGAGTTGTTGAATGAATGGAATGAAATAAAATAGAAGAAAGTACATTCGTGTAGATGTTCCAGAGAGTTAATGGTTCGTCTTATGGTTTAGTATTGCACGGAATGCAGTTAACAAAATATTTTTCCCAAATGGTAACGCGGCAACGTTGACACCAGGTTTAAACTCGGCATTACCGTGTTGGAATTCCGGTTTTGCTAAGTACTGACGCAATACAACTTTAAATGGATATATTTTTTATAAAGCAAATTTATAGAGCGCTTGTTATGGGCTGTGACCTTGAGAAGGCGCACACGCCATGTCTCTTCCAGGCGTCAGAACTTCTGTAGCTATGCCCTGGGAGCATGGTGCTGGAATAAAGGAGCAACAAATGAGCAGCAAGGTATTTGGACTAAACGCTAAACAA